CCCAGTTGTAGCCTCATAGGGCTGCGGATCCCACATCAGTTTCAGATAATAATGGCGGCGGCGGTGGGAGACGGCGAGGAATGAGTCATATAAACTGGAGCGAAGAGCAATGAACAGGAAGGGGGGAAGCGAAACGAAGCGAACGCCGGAGTCGTGCGCGCTCCCTTAGGGAGCTCGCCCGTGCCCGCTACGGCATGGCGTGGAGGCCGTGGCCTCAAACATGATATACACGCGGGCTCGCGCTGGACCATTCAGCGACCCTGGCGGCTGATAGCCATGGCAAGTCGCTCGAGCTGTTCGAGGGGGGATGGGAGGCAGGGCAGGAGGAGGAGAAGGAGGAGGAGGATGAGGGGGAGGAGGCGGATGAGGAGGAGGGGGAAAAGGAGGAGGAGGAGGAGGACAGAGAAGGAGGAGGAGGAGGAGGCGGAGGAGGAGGGAGGAGGAGGAGGCGCAGCTGGAGCGCCCGTCTGTCAGGGAGGCGGGGACATCGAAGCGGAGTCGTCCAGCAGGTCCACATGCCCGCCCACGAGGGGAGGCGCCTGCCGAGCGCAACGCGCGCGCCCGCGCGGAGGAGGCGGCGACAGTGCACAGCAGCGGTTGCATCTGCCCTGTACAGTCGGTCCGTATCAGAAGGCATGCGCGGGCGTTGCAAGCCCATTTCGAAGCTTTTCGGGCGGGCCGCGGCCAACGAAAGTGGCCAGGGATGGGCCGAGGAGGCAAGTATGCAAGCAAGCCCTTGGGATAACTGCCCATCCTTCCTATGCGGGTTGACTGTACGGCCCAAAGATCCTCTGGCATGATGCAGAAGGGTCCGTAGAGGAACAGAGGAGAACGGCATGCACACAAACTTTTGTGGAGCTTCGTGCGGACTTACTGGATCGGCGCTGGGCCCCCCTCCCTGGCGCGTGGAGCACGCCAGGGGCGGCGCTGGAGGCGCCGCCAGGGGGGGCCAGAGCCGATCCTGGAAATCTGCAAGGAGCTCCTCAAGTTTATTCGTATGCCGTTTATTGTTCTTCGGGTCCTGACCCTCACATCCAAACATCTTGAACAGCACAAGGGGTGGAGGCGTTGCACCATCTCTTCCCCCAGGGGGCTGCATGTGGGCTCCGAATCCCTGGACGCCGAATCCCAGCGTCTGTGAAGACGCTGACGTCCGTTGGAACAGGTTTCAAGTACGATTCGATTGTTTCTCCCTGTCTGACAGAGGGTTTTCTGAGTCACCTCGCAACGAGGAAGATCGACCAAACATATTTTCGCACCCATGCGCGGCCATGTGGCGAGCAACATAGGGTAGCATTTGATCCCGCACCCCTTGCAGTGCCATGCGCCGAATACGATCATATTTGATCCGCATCCCCCGGACCTGCCATATGAGGAGAAGACCAGAACCGTATTTGCTCTTCCTTTCCTGCGTTCCCTTGTAACAGATATCCGCCACCGTGCCCTTGAGACACGAGTAGGAGTGTCCTCAGGTCCCTTGTTGGATCCCCTGGAGCCTCTGCCCTCAATCCTGACGCTTCTTCAAGGGGCCCAGACTCAAAATTGCCAAATCTTCTGTAGCGCGTTGCGTATGCTCCTGGGGCCCGTCGCGCTGTGTCGCATGTCTTTTTGGGGGTTAAGAGGGTGGGCCAAGGCGGCCCCGAGAGGCCCTCAAGACGGTCCAAGAGGGCCCCGAGTCGCTGAAAGATCGCTCCAGGACGCCCAAGATGGCCTCAAGACGGCCCAAGATGCCCTCAAGACAACTGAAGAGGACTCCAAAATGCATCCCGAGAGGATCCCAAGAGGCACACATACTTGATTCTTACTTAGGTTGTTGAAAGACTTTGGCGTTCTCGCCTTTTCGGCTTCCCGACGCTCCAGGACGGACCAAGATGCCCCCAAGATCACTCCAAGACGGCCCACGAGGTCTCCAAAAGAAACCCAAAACGGCTCAAAAGGCGCCCGGGCCCTGACGGGGTACCCGAATGGGCATTTCAAGGCCTCGTCCCCGGGAGGCCCCCAAAGGTCCCAAGAGGCCCCCCCAAAGGCTGCCCAGAGCTCCCAAAAGGCCCCCAGGAAACCCTACGAGGCCCCCAAGAAGCTACCAAGAGGCTCCCAAAAAAGCTCCCAAGAGGCCTCCAAACTGCCCCCTACGAGGCCCCCAAGAGCGCTCCGAAGAGACCCCAGGAAGCATCCCTGAGGACTCTGATCCAAAACCCAGACACGGTGGCGGGATGGGCCGAAGGCCATTCGATCCGCCGCCCCTTGTGGTCTTGCCACAAGGGTGCCTGGTGTGTTGCATTTCTTACGATTGTTTGGCTTGGTTCTTTTCCAAACGGACTTCCTCTGGGACTTCGGTCCATTGCGCCGGCCATCCGAAACTGCGCACAACCCGCCGACAACCCAATCGCCTTTGAGACAGCCAAGATGGCCCAAGATGGCCTCCAAGACGGCCAAGATGGCCTCCAAGACGGCCAAGATGGCCCCAGGATGCCTTCAAGATGGCCCAAGATGCACCCCAAACGGCCCAAGATGGCCTCAAGATGGGTCCAGACGGCCCAAGAAGCCCCCAAGAAGCCTCCAAGAGGCCTCCAAAACGGTATACAGGAAGGCCTGAAGAGGCAAGCATCATCGATTTTCCTTAGGTTTTTGAACGATGGTTGCATTGGCTACTTTTCGGCCTTCCGACAGCCTTCCGACGGCCTTCACACGGCCCGAGAGGGCCCCAAGGTCCCCCGAGATCGCCAAGAATCCTCAAAGATGGCCGTGTGACGGCCCAAGAGGCCCGAGACGCCCAGGAGGCCTCCAAGACGTCGAGATCTCCTCCACGCCGAGATCTCCTCCCAAACTTCCATGAAGCACCCCAAGGGGGTTCCAAGTCGGTTCAGAGAGGCCCCCTTAAGACGGCTTTCGACGGCGTCAGACGGGCCAGGAACGCCCTCAGACGGCCAAAGAGGTCCCCAAGAAAGCCCTAAATGCTCCAGGAGGACCAAGGAGGCCCCCAGGAAACTTCCAGGAGGCCCCAAGAGTGCCCCGAGAGGCTCCTTAGAGGCCCCCTCCTCCTACTCCTCCTCCTCCGCCTCTTCCTCCCTCTCCTGATCCTCCCTGTCATCCTCCCCCAAAAGTTCCCCCAAGAGTTTCCAGAGCAGTTGGGGGAACACATAGTCCGATAGCTTGGACCAACGTTTAGCCACAGAGGCGCTTCCCCAAAGGCAGGGGGCGGCGGTGATTCGCTGAAGGCGCCTTCAATCATAGCGTCTCTGCTGCTGGGCTGCCACATCACGAGTAGGAACAGTGTGGCAGTTCCGCCTTTCTGCGTTGCACTGTGCCGAGCTAAATGGAGCAACACGTGTGCCAACCCCACTTGCGAGGCCACGTTGCGAAAGGAGTCGCCGTCGCCGCCCTCTTCATCGGCGTCGTCCTCCTCCTCCCCCTCGTCTGAGTCACCGTCGTCGCCCTCGTCGTCGTCGTCGTCGTGTTCGTCGTCCTCGTCGTCGTGGGCGTCGTCGTCGTGGGCGTCGTCGTCGTGGGCGTCGTCGTCGTCGTCGTCGCCCTCGTCGTTGTCACGCTCGGGGATGCCCTGCTGGATGCGCTGCGCACTGGCCTGGTGTGCCGCCCGACCTGCCCGTCAGAGCCTGGCTGCCCGACCCGCCTTCTCCCGAGCTGCCCGCCCCGCGCGCCCCGCCCGCCCGGGGGGGGCCCGCTCGCCCGGCCGCCCTGGCCCGCCCGCTCCGCGAGGCTCCGCCCAGCGGACCCGCCCGTCGGGGGGTTGCGCGGGGGGAGCGGAAGGGGGGGGGGGCTGGCACAGGGGAGGGCAGAGAGGATCAGCTCACGCAGCGGATTTTCCCAGCGCCTCCCGGCGCCGGGAGGCGCCCACGTATCGAGGAATGGGCCCGGCGGCGGGGCCGAAGCCAGCTTCACGCAGCAGATTTCGTGGCCCCCCGTTTCCCCATCCCGCCCTTTCGTTCGGCCCGAGTTGTGGTTGCCGTCGTTCCTCACAGGTGAGGCTCGAGGCTCTCTCGTCTGAGGCATCCTTGCAGTGGAGGCCCGGTCTCCACCAGAAACCTTCCACAGGAAACCCAACCCTGAGACCCCAGGACGTCCGTCGAATCTTGGCTTGGGAGCGTCGCGCTCTCCATGGCAAGACCATCGAAGCCCGAGAAACCCCGGGCACCCAGGAGGCAAGTTTCTTGACATGGGTTTCCACTGCGCAAGAATCGGCTGCACGCAAAGAGTGACCCTGGGCAGGGAGTGGCCTCATTGGTGCGCGGATCTCTGGGGGCCCCGGGGGTGGACCAGACCAGGCGCGCAAGCTGTTGCTGCCGCATCTGATTCTGAAGATCGCGGAGAGCCCGCGAGCCCGCGCACAGGTCACGCGGGCGAAGGGTCACTCCTCCGTGGAGTCGAAGCATGGAGGCGTCGAAAGAAGTGTCTTCAGAGTCTTTTTGGTCGGCGGCGAGCGAGGGGAGGAAATGAGAAGGAGAAGGCCTTCTCAGAAGGCGGCGCGGCGGAACGTCTCAGAAGCCCTCGCGCCTTCAGAGCAATGTTATCTGTCATCTCGGGGAAGGCTTAGAACACTTCTGAGAAAGCCGGGGGACTTCTGAGCCTTCTGAGAAGGCTACGGTCGGGCGTGTCCCCCTGCAGGCGGATTTTGGATGAACAGTAAAACATATCCCCAAATATTCAAAAATGGTAGAAAAATCGTCCCCATACTATTTTCTGACTATTTTTGAATATTCCTCCTGTAGAGGACACGCCCGACTTAAGAGAAGGCCCGAAGGCCTGCCCCCTCTCACTTCACCTCCTCGCTCGCCGCAGATTCGAGGATCCGTTGGAGCACTCCTAGACAGCTCAAGAGGCAACATCGGAGCAGAGCCCTGCGGAGCCTCGACGGGCCATGTCATTGAGACTGACCGGGCGGCCAGCGGCGCGAGCGATCGCACGCGAAAGTGCATACGAATCGCACACATCGGGCGGGGAAGCCTCTATACAATCCGGATCACATGCTTCTTGTACGTGTTGTTGCTAGCCATGTGTGCTTAGTGTGCAGTCGTGCGAGTCGCCGACCAGCCCATCAGTCTCGATGTCCAGAAGAGCACCCTCCCACCTCCCCACATCCTCTGCCCTTCCTCGCCCAGGCGGCGCGGGGGGTGGGCGGCAGAATGGGCACGGGGCGTGGGTGGCACCGCGCGCGGTCCCTGGTGGACTGGCGAAGGGCATGGGACCCCCTTGCTTCACCCCCGGCGCGAGGAGGAAGAGGAGGAGGAGGGCGCAGAAGAGGGGATGAGGGGGGAGCCGGCGGCGGCCAACAGGCGAGGCGAGCAGCAGCAGGAGGACGCACGAGGACGAGGGGGAGAGGCGGCGCGAGAAGGAAACGAGACCAGAGCGCATCGGGAGCCGAAGGCGGGGGGAGCGGCAAGCGTCCTGCCGCGGCCACGAGCATGCCCCGGCGTAGGAGGGCAGCTCCCCGCCCAGGGCATGCAGAGCGGCCAACTCCCCGGCGGCCGGGCTGGCCATGAGGCCGTAAGTGCCCATGCCTGGCGGCGCGAGTGGACGAGGGAAACGGAGGAGGAGGAGGAGGAGGAGGAGGAGGAGGAGGAAAGGAAGGAGGAGGTCAGGAAGGAGGAGGAAAGGGAGGAGGATAATGAAAAGGATGCGGAAGAGGGAGGAGAGGGAGGGGGGAGGGCGAGGGGCGAGGGGACGAGGACGGGCGGAGGATGAGGAGCAGGCGGAGGAGAAGCGGGCGGACGAGGAGGCCGAGGAGGAGAATCCCCCAGGACGCCACAGGGTGCCACCAGGGGAGCCCAGGCTTGATCGGCAGGCTCCGGGAGGGTCCAAATGTGACCCCTGCAGCTGGCCCACGGTGCCCCCGTGCGCCCAGTTGGACCCGTGACGAGTCGTGCACATGCCCGCAGGGAGGCCCGCGATCGACTCACACACGCACCACGCATATCACGGGGGGGCGACCCCGCGGGGGGCGGCGGGGTGGTCTGCTCCGCGAGCAGCCCATCGCACATTCGGCACCGAACAGGGCACCCTCGGACCCCCAATACTCCCGCACCTAGCCGCCCCGATGCGCAACACGCAACCCGCAGCGTGTCGACACGGAGCTCAACACGCAGGTTGAAAACGTACGTCTGGCGAGATGCGTTCGCCAGAACGTGAGCCAACACATTGAGCCAACACGCAGCGTGCTAATACTGATGTTTTCGACACGGCACTTGTGACGCCTCAGAACGGGCGTTTCCGGGCAGCCAAGCTCACACATTGTTGCATGGGGGTCCCATCCTCCGCTCACGCGGACTCACTTCGAGTCTCAAGCTTGTTGGCCTGTTCGGGGCGACCAAACTCGGTGCGCGCATCATCTCGTCCTGCTTTCTCCTCTGTTCCTTCCGGTCGAGGGGGGGGGCTGCGGAGCCACTCTGGGGCCCAAACGGTGGGGTCTGAATGGCCCACCTGGCGGTCCTGGCGACGTCGCGAGGCGGGGGCCAGGGTGAGGAACGGCAGCCGGGGCCTCTTGCCGCGGTCCCCAGTCGGTCTGGCATGCGGAGGGATGCAGAATGACACAAATCTGCGCCTGCGGCTGGCTTTTCCCCAAGAGGTGCCTGCACTTGGTCCCAGTGGGACTGGAATTCGTTGGCACGATTTCTGTTTACCGCCCTGGCGCCCAGTGGCTGGTGCTCTGTGATGCTCTAGTCGTCGGTGTTAATTGCCAGCATGACGGAAATGTCCTGAGTCGGTTCGGAATTCGGCGCTTGCCATGACGACTCAGCTAAATCCAGGCCGCGTCGCGAGCTGTGGGAAACATCGTAGCAGCAATATGCCCATCCAGCGATTGATTTCGAGTAGCCATTGCGCAACAGAGTTTGTACGCACCAAAGAATTACTACAAACACCAGAGCGCGACGCTTGCGCTCGCATCAATATGTGAACTAGAACCACGCGCGCGCTTCGCGCGCTTAGGTTCTGTCGAGTCACAGACCCAGGAATCGTTGCGAGAAGAAATTGGTGACGCGAAGCGTCGTGGGGGCGTCCTTGGACGTCTGGGGTCTCCTGGGGCCTCTTGAGGGGCTTCCTGGGGGCCTCCTGGCGGCCTCTTGGGGCGGAAGGCTCGAGCTTGCGGTTCGTGGTCCCCCTCTGGGCCCCCTCTTGGGCCCGTCTTGGGGCCCTCTTGGGCCATCTTGGGCGCCTCTTGGGCCGTCTTGGGGCCCTCTTGGGCTGTCCTGGGGCCCTCTTGGAAGCTTCTTGGGCCGTCTTGGGGCGGTCTTGGGCGCCTCTTGGGCCGTCCTGTAACGTCGGAAAGCCCAAAAGACAACTTTGTTGAAAATGTACGTTTTACGAAGGGAATGGGCAATTTTTTGCGTCTAGGGGCCCTCTTGGGACGCATGTTGGAGGCTTCTTGGGGCCTCTTGGGGGCGTCCTTGGACGTCTGGGGTCTCCTGGGGCCTCTTGAGGGGCCTCCTGGGGGCCTCCTGGCGGCCTCTTGGGGCGGAAGGCTCGAGCTTGCGGTTCGTGGTCCCCCTCTGGGCCCCCTCTTGGGCCCGTCTTGGGGCCCTCTTGGGCCATCTTGGGCGCCTCTTGGGCCGTCTTGGGGCCCTCTTGGGCTGTCCTGGGGCCCTCTTGGAAGCTTCTTGGGCCGTCTTGGGGCGGTCTTGGGCGCCTCTTGGGCCGTCCTGTAACGTCGGAAAGCCCAAAAGGCGACTTTGTTGAAAATGTACGTTTTACGAAGGGAATGGGCCAATTTTTGCGTCTAGGGGCCCTCTTGGGACGCATGTTGGAGGCTTCTTGGGGCGTCTTGGGGGCGTCCTTGGACGTCTGGGGTCTCCTGGGGCCTCTTGAGGGGCCTCCTGGGGGCCTCCTGGCGGCCTCTTGGGGCGGAAGGCTCGAGCTTGCGGTTCGTGGTCCCCCTCTGGGCCCCCTCTTGGGCCCGTCTTGGGGCCCTCTTGGGCCATCTTGGGCGCCTCTTGGGCCGTCTTGGGGCCCTCTTGGGCTGTCCTGGGGCCCTCTTGGAAGCTTCTTGGGCCGTCTTGGGGCGGTCTTGGGCGCCTCTTGGGCCGTCCTGTAACGTCGGAAAACCCAAAAGACAACTTTGTTGAAAATGTACGTTTTACGAAGGGAATGGGCCAATTTTTGCGTCTAGGGGCCCTCTTGGGACGCATGTTGGAGGCTTCTTGGGGCCTCTTGGGGGCGTCCTTGGACGTCTGGAGGCCATCTTCAGCATCTCGGAGCCCTCTTGGAGGCCTCTTGGAAGTTTCTTGGGCCGTCTTGGGCGCTCCTGGGGCCGTCTTGTCTGACCAGGGAGGCCTCCGGCAAGCCCCGACGAGCCTCCGGGCCCCCCGGAGCCCACATTTGCGGTCGGGGTCCCGGCCCCGGGCCCCCGGACCCGGTGCGCCGTTATATGTATAAACTTACGGCTGTACCCTGCGCGCGATGAAATCAAGAAATCCTCTAGCTCTAGTAGGGCGTCCGTGACACCAGACCGTTGGATTCGCCTTTCACGCGGTGGCTTTCTAAAACCCAAGCGCCAAACACCTTGACAACATGAGTAGCACATCTTCACTACAACCGACAGAACAACCACTTGCCATAACAACCTCCAGCTGCATGGTCCGTCCGCTACCGATACCGCTGCCCCCGGACCTGCCCAGGGGTGCACTCTGGCGATAGTTTCGACGCGAATCCGGCCGTAGTAAAGTGGGAAGGGCAGTGGGCGCTGACTCAGGACCCAGGGATTCGGAACTGGCAAGCCCAAAGCACTTTCACAAGGCGGCGAAATCTATACACATCCGCTGCTCCCTGGAAAGGCGCACTCTGGACCCAGCAGCAATGTCTACACGCCACGCCCTCGTGGCTTGGCCCGGAGGGCGTCCTGAACAGCTGCTGGGCCCAGGAAGGGCCTGGCCAGTGGGCAGTGGACGTGTACATTGGAGGCCAGTCCACAAGGAACCTTCCACAAGTAACCCAACCCTGAGACCCCAGGACGTCCTTGATTTTTCGGTGTGGGAGCGCCTTTTCCCGGCAAAAAGCACTCGAAGCCCGGGGCACCCTGGAGGCGAGCTGCGTGCTGCTTGGCATGGGCCTCCCCTGTGCAGCTTTCGCCGCCCGACTTCCGCGAACGCCCTGCGAGCTGCCGCGCAGCGCGCCGCCGCCGACAGCACCACAAGAGAAGGCGCGTATCACATCCGGCGCGCGGCCTCCGCACAGGAACGCGTTCGCGGGCCCCCGCGGGCCGATCAGCGGGCGCGCGTCCGTCGTCACGGTGTAGTAGCCGCCGTCCACCTGAGGCAGGGGGGCCGACTGACTTAGGCCACAGGAGGGCCCCTGATCCTCTGGGAGGCGACCCAAGCTGGGAGGGTCCGAAGCGCGAGGGATAAGAGGTCCTTCCTGCGGACGTGTCGCACCCGACTGCCCAGAGCTATCTTGTTCCTCAGGCGAGGACGGGGCCCTCAGTGAGGCCCACGTCTTCGCTTTGTTTATTGCGGCAGGGGTTCCTTTACACTCGATGACCCACGGTCCGAACGCCCAGCCGTCGTGGGAACCGCGCGAGCCGCCGCGGGCCCCGGAGAGGTTCCCACCTTCCTCCCTCGTGCCCCCCTCCTCCTCCTCCTGCTCCTCCTCCTCCTCCTGCTCCTCCTGCTCCTCCTGCTCTTCCTGCTCCTCCTCCTCGTCAACCTCGTCCTCCTTCTTCTCCTCCTCCTCCTCCTCCTCCTCCTCCTCGCCCCCCAGGCCGCCCGCTTCCCCTTCCCGCCCTGGAGCCCGCGGGGCCCGAGATCCAAGCCGCGGACGCCGGCTGCCCGTCCTCGGACAGAGGAGGGAGGAGCGGACGGGAAGGAGGGGGAGAAGGAAGCGGGGCGTGATGGAGCGAGGAGGGGAGCTGGCAGAAGGGAAAACAAAATAAGAAAGAGGAGGAGGAGGAGGAGGAGGAGGAGGAGGAGGAGGGGGAGGAGGAGAGGGAAAGAAAAGAGGAAGGAGAGAAGGAGGAAGAGGAGGAGGAGGATGAGGAGAAGAGAAAGGAGAGGAGTGGGTGGAGGAGGAGCAAGAGGAAAGAGAGGAAGGAGAGGGAAACATGAAAGAGGAGGAGGAGAGGGACAGAAATGGAAGGCAAATGGACCAAGGCGGCAAAGATGGAGTGAGCGAGAAAACGGCAGGATCGAGGTGGGGGACGGGGCGGCTCAGGAAGGGGGAGCCCTAGGAGCTCGGGAAACAACACATGATGGTAAAACAAACACACGCACAGTGTGTGTGTGTGTGTGTGTGCGTGTGTCTGTGGAAAACAACACACACAGACACACAAACACACACACACACACCACACACACACACACACACGCACACACACACACACTCACCCTCACACACACACGCACACACATACACATCCACATACAGATACACAACCACGCACACACACACACACGCACGCACGCACGCACACAGGCAATCACGCACACACGCGCACACACGCACACACACACGCGCACACACACACGCACAGACACACACGCACAGACAGATATACACACACATTTTGGTAACACAAACACACCAGGTGTACTTTTTTTCCACAAGCACAGTGTGTGCCTGTGGAAACAACAAACGCACCAACACACACAAACACACATACACGCGCACACACACGCACACACGCACACACGCACACACGCACACACACACGCACAGGCACACACGCCCAGACATACACAAAGACACAGACACAGACACAGACACACACACAGACACAGGCACACACACATACACACAGACACACACGCACAGATACACACGAACACACAGAGACACACACACACACTGACACAGACACAGACACAGACACACATACACACAGACACACACGGACACACACACACGGATTCACACACACACGGACACACACGGAGACGCACATACACACAGACACAGACACAGACACAGACACACAAACAGACACACACAGACACACACGGACACACACACACAGACACATACACAGACACACACAGACACACACGCAGACATACACCGACACACATACAGAAACACAGACAGACTCACATACAGACACACACAGACACACACAAACACACACACAGACAGACAAACACAGACACCCATACAAAGACACACACAGACACACACAAAGACACACACACACAGACACACGCCCAGACACACACAGACACACACACACACACGGACACACACACACGGACACAGACACAGACACAGACACAGACAAACACACACACAATGTGTTTTCCGCACTGCGTGGTTTTCCATACCCCCACACACACTGTGTTTTTTTCTCATCAGGTGCCCATCCTGCAATTCAAACATCGTTGCGCCATCGGACCGGCAACGCCCATCAACAACCGGCCCAAGACCAAAAGGGAATTCGGTCACTCATCCTCTTCGAGCACCCATTGTTTCCATACTCGTTTCCGCTTTATACAGTTTACTGACCAGAACCTTCCGACGCCCCCCTGTCGAAACCAACGTGGTCGCTTCACATGGTGCAGTGCCCCTTGTGCACGGAAAATTTGAAGGCAGAATGTGAAGGGTGAAGATCAAAATGATCAGGTCCTTTCCGTCCCACATGGTGCCAGCAGGCGCGCTTGCAGTGACATCGGGCGCACGCGCCCGAACCCAACGGGACCTACCTTTAAAGTCGGGGGGGGGGGGGCAGGGCTGCACTCGGCCGCTGTGCAAGGCCCGAATGCGCCCGCAAAACAAACGGTGCGTCGGGCAAAACGGCCAGGACAGTTTTACAGCCGTAATCCCTGGGAGGATCACTAGTTCCTGGAGCCCGACAATGACTGCGCTCAAACGGACCCACTCCATCGGGCGCATGAGAGGCCACTAGGCCTCGAGACTGGGCGTCGGGAGCTTCCTCCACCGACGCCTCTTCAGTCTCCGTCTTCAGTGCATTCGGTTGAAGAGAACGTGCATGCCTATTTCCGAGCGACGAGAGGAGCATGCATCAACAGGCGCCCGCAAAAGAACAGGCGACCTAAACACATAAGACCGCCAACATTCACATTATACGCCTGAATATCCTAAGGTGCACGCTTCCATGACCCAGTGTGGTGTCCACAATTGGTACTACGAGATGGTCGTTAAAAATCCTCATCAACTTGATGCGCGTTTTCCTTTTCCGTTCGGTGTGGCGTTGCGCCTTACCGTAGAAATCCGACATACAGTGTTGTAGAGATACGTCACGATTTGCATGTATGAACCTCTAAATGCAATATTTGCCTTGCATTATTGAACACCGAGGTGGCAACACCACATCCGTGATACCTGCATCTTCAAACCCTCAATCGTGTCGCATATGGGTGTGATTTTCTGCCCGTGCCTTGGTGGACTAAATCTGAAGATCGAGCCGCAGAAACACGCAGTGCGGTCATCCTACAACAGCAGCAGCAGAAAAAAGGTGCGACGGGGAGCGGAGTGGAGAGGACCGAAGCCGGACCCCAATGGGACCGCCCGCGGGCTGAGGGGGAGCGGGGCTGTCGCTCCAGAGTGAAACGTGAGCCAAACCACAAAGGTGACAACGTAGTATCTGCCTCCACGGGCTCCTTCGGCATCTCGTCCTCGATGCCTTCCTTGACTTGGAGAGTGGCTTGCGAATGGGGGTTTCACTTGCACCACGAGCACACCTCGTGCCGTCGCCATTTTGGCGTGATCCCCAATGCTTAGGATTTCTCAACCCGCGCCTTCATGCTGTGGTCCCGCAGCCTGGGTCGCAGCCGATTGCAGCCGAGCGTGGCAGAATTCCGGCGGGGAGCTGATGAGAGCAACGCCGCGTTGCGGCGCAGGCGGCCCGAACCGCTGCACAGGCCGAACACCCGCAGACCGTGCGCTTCAGGCTGGCGCCACAGCCATCGGCCGGTCCAACGGCGCGGGGGCTCCGCCACAGCGAGCGCACAGGCTGCCTCGCGGGCTCCGCCGACGCGCGCCGAGGCCGTGGCCGCGTCGGCGCGCCGCCGCGCGGCCGCGCGCTGGGCTCGCGGGCGCCTCGCTGCACCAGGATCCGCCGTGCGGCGACCACGCGGAGGAGGAGGAGGAGGAGGAGGAGGAGAAGGAGGAGGAGGAGGAGGAGGAAGTGGAGGAGGACGGGTCGCCTAAGCCCTTCGGAGAAACCCTCCAACGGCGACTGCGCCCTCTTCATCGCGATGCGCGACCCGGCCCCGTGGGGTCGGCGGGCCAGAGCCAGGGGGGCTACAGCCGGGCCCAGCCCCGTGGGCAACAACTGGCCGGCGAGAAATTGGCTGGCTGGGCCCGGACAATGCCAGGATTCGAGGCATCATTGCCCAAGCGCCTCATCCTTGTTGGCAGCTCCCATGCGCACGGATGAGGGGGAGGACGACGGCGAAGAGGCTCTGCTCTCTTACACTCGCCCCAACCGTTCCTCATCCCTATCGTCCACCGTCGCGTCTCCGCGGCCGAGCCGGCCCTCGTAGCGCTTGAGATCCGGCACCATCTCGCTCAGCCTGCGACCCCCGCTACCCGAATCTAGCAAAGAAGAGGCAACATGCCCTTGCCCTCCACCTCTCCTCCCTGTTGGCTCCCGTCCCCCATTCCTCCTGCCGCGTCCATCTCGCATCCTCCCCATCCGTCCCTCACCTTCCCTCATTCTCCTCCATTCTCCTTTCCCTCCTCCATATTGTCCACCCCCTTCTCCTTCCTTCTCCTCCCCCAACCTTCCCGCCATCCATCTTCCTAATAACTTACTCCCCCCTGTCGCCCAACGAAACCTGTCGTTCAGGCGCGCCAGGCGGTTCGCCTGAGACCGCCTCACAATGTACGACCTCGAAGCTCTACATTCCAACATTACACCGAAGAAAAGCCCCAATCAGTGGATGGTTTGGAAATTAGCAATATGGATATTGAGTTCGATTGTGAGATCGATAGTGGAATCGACAATGAGGACGATGGTAAGGTCAATCGTGAGACCGATAGTGAAGTCGATTCAGTGACTTCGATGGTGATATCGATCGTGAGATAGCTCTTGAGATCGATAGTGAGATCGCTAGAGAAACGGGTAATGAGATCGATGGTGAAATCGATCGATAAAAAGATCGCCCAAGAACCCGGGAATCTAGGAACCCCGCCGCTCACCAAAATCGGCCCGGAACAAAGAATCGGGAACCTGGGAACCTGGAACCAGGAACTCGGGAATCCGGCCGCCCACCGAAATCGGCCCAGAACTTTCCCCAAGTCCTTCCATTGCATCAGAGGAAAACCCAACCAGTAGATGATAAGAAACTTAGTGATATGGGTGTATTGAGATCGATTGTGGAATCGATAATGAGGACGATTGTAAGGTCGGTCGTGAGACCGATAGTGAAGTCGATTCAATGAGATCGATCGTGTGATCAATCGCGATATCGCTCGTGCGATTTATAGTGAGACCGATTGTGAGATCGACAATGAGATCGATTGTGAGATCGATAGAGAAGTAGGTAATGAGATCGATGGTGAGACCGATCGATAATAAAATCGACCAAGAACCCAAGAACGTGGGAACCCCGCCGCCCACCGAAATCGGCCCGGAACCAGGGAACCTGGAACCGGGAACCCGGCCGCCCACCGAAATCGGCCTGGAACTTTTGCCAAATCCTTCAATATCCGCTAGGACCCCTTCGGTGCAAGCACTGATTGGGGAATCTCAGCTAGGACCTCTCCAGTGCTAGCACTGATTGGGGAATTCTATGCTCCTCGCTCTCTTTCTCTTTCTCCCTCTATTTTTGTGTCTCTCTCTCTCTCTCGCTCTCTATAAATACAAAGTATATTACTCCCAATTTCTTCTGAAGCATATACGCACATATATTCGTACTTACACGCACTATATCTCTGTTTCTCTCTCTCTCTCTCTTTCTACTCCGCCTCCCTCATTTTTTATTCACCATAGTTGCTTGGTTCTCTCTCTCTCTCTCTGACCTTGTCTCTCTCTCTCTCTCTTGCTCACCCTCTCTCTATACACATCGGAAACGGATACCCCCCCACTGGGATATTGGTTTCGGATGCACGTTCGTGTTGCGCGTGCGGGCGAGGCGAAGCTGCGTGGGCGGGCGAGAGGAATGAACTCGCCGTTGCCAGGGCGAAGCCGAACCAAACGTTGCCGTCCCCCGTGTTGGCCAGCAATGGCCCTGTGGTGTCCCGATGGTTTCCCGTTGGTGTCCCGAAAATGTCCCGAGGGGGTCCCGTGGTGTCCCGTGATGTCCCGTGTCGCGCGGGTGTCCCGTGCTATGTTATATTATATTATTTGTCATGCTAGCGATTAAAAGGTCGATAGTGCGATCGATACTGAGATCCATTGAATGAGATCGAAAGTGAGATCGATCGTGAGATCGATGGTGAGATCGGTAGTGATGTCGATTGGGTGAGATCGATAGTGAGATCGGTACCAGGATCGATCGTGAGATCGATAGTGAGATGGATAGTGATATCGATTGAGTGGGATCGATAGTGAAGTCGATCGAGAGATCGATCGCACGTTCGATAGTGGTATCGATTGAGTGAGATCGATCGTGAAGCCGATAGGGATATGAATAGTGATACCGATCGTGAGATCGATGGTGGCATCGATGGTGAGACGGATAGTAAGAGCGATCGTGAGATCGATCGTGCGATCGTTCGTGATATCGATCGTGACATCGATGGTGAGATCGATGGTGACATGAATAGTGTGATCGACAGTGAGATCGATGGTGTAATCGATAGTGATATCGAGAGTGAGGTCGGTAGTGAGATCGACAATGAGATCGATTGAATGAAATGGATGGTGAGATCGATAATGACATCGATAATGAGGTCGACCGGGAACCCAAGAACCCGGGACCCAAAACTTGAATTCCTGGGAACCCCGCCGCCCACCGACCCCCGCCGCCCACCGAAATCGGCCTGGAACCAGAAACCGGGAACCTGGAAACCTGGGAACCCGGAACTGGAACCCGGAAACCCCAGCCGCCCACCGAAATCGGCCTGGCGCTTTCGCCAGATCTTTCCGTTTCCGCTATAGGACCCCTTCAGTGCAAGCACTCATTAGGGAATTTGCACGGATTGTTGATGATGATGATGATGATGCTGATGATGACGATGATGATGATGATGATGATGATGATGATGATGATGATGATGATGATGATGATGATGATGATGATGATGATGGTGAGGATGATGATGATGGTGTTGACGCTGATAATGCTGATGATGATGATATGGTGATGATGATGATGAAGATGGTGGTGATGATGATGATAATGATGATGCTGATGATGATGATGGTGATGGTGGCGGTGATGGTGATGATGATGATGATGATGATGGTGATGCTGATGATGCTGATGATGCTGATGATGCTGATGATGATGATGATGATGATGATGATGATGATGATGATGATGATGATGATGATGATGATGATGATGATGATGATGATGTGAGCGTTTCTGCTGCTAGGGAGACTCCCGCCCTGTGCCGTGCAGAGCAGGCCTGAGGGACTTTGCTACCCCTGCTGCAGCCTCGGATGCTGAGCGACGTCGTTTTCAAACTTCGGTTCTCATCTCAGCGCCGCGCTCAGCTTCCAACGGGTCCACGGGTGGAGCACAGGTGACTTCACAGAGGCTGTCGCCTCGGCGCCGTGCGCAGTGCGCCTTCCACCTCCGAAGCAGATGCACGGACGGAGCAGCCGTTGTTTCGCAAGTGGGCTTCGCTCTGGCGCCGAACACGCTCGTCGTTATAACATGTGCAAGAGTTCTGCGGATTCCTCCTCCTCCTCCTCCTCCTCCTCCTCCTCCTCCTCTCCTCCTCCTCCTCCCCTCCCCCTCCCCCTCCCCCTCCCCCTCCCCCGTCCCCCTCCCCCTCCCCCTCCCTCTCCCCCTCCCCCTCCCCCCTCCCCTCCCCCTCCCCCCTCCTCCTCCTCCCTCCCCCCCTCCTCCTCCTCCTCCTCCTCCTCCTCCTCCTCCTCCTCCTCCTCCTCCTCCTCCTCCTCCTCCTCCTCCTCCCCCTCCCCCTCCTCCTCTCCTCCTCCTCCTCCTCCTCCTCCTCCTCCTCCTCCTCTCCTCCTCCTCCTCCTCCTCCTCCTCCCCCCCTCCCCCTCCTCCTCCTCCTCCTCCTCCTCCTCTCCTTCCTCCTCCTCCTCCTCCTCCTCCTCCTCCTCCTCCTCCTCCTCCTCCTCCTCCTCTCCTCCTCCTCCTCCTCCTCCTCCTCCTCCTCTCCTCCTCCTCCTCCTCCTCCTCCTCCTCCTCCTCCCCTTCCTCCTCCTCCTCCTCCTTTTCACACATGGGGCTCTTGACTTAGCGCCGCGCATCTCCGTCTGATTCTACTGTAGCGGTCGTAGCGGAGGGCGGCCCCTCTCCAAAATCGGCCTTCGCTCGGAGACTTCCTGTGGCCTCGTGGCCTGAGGTTCTCAAGTCTGTAGCAGCTGCTCAGATGGAGCGTGCTCCTTTTTCACTCGGAGCTCTCAGTCGATACGCCCGAAAACTTTACAACACCAACTTGCAACACTTGTGCAACACCTGTATGGGCTTAGACAAACTTTTTTCCTGGACTGAGCTATCGCTGGGCACTGCCTGACTATGTATGACCCTACCTGCATCTCCTATCATTTAGGGCGAGAGTGATGTCATGACAAGATTACGTAGCTCAAAATGCTCTGCAAGATTGTCAAGGTATCTAGCGGCGCAGCGGGTGCGGAACATCAGGAATCATGGGAACTCCTGGAAGCCTTGGAAGTCCCAGAGCGTATCATGATCATGACCTCCCTGCCCCTCTGATGTCCGCACTTTTCACATCGCACTGATGCCCAAATCATTGATTTTCCCAAGTGTTTGAATGCTGGTTGCGTTCTCGCCATTCGGCGCCACACCGACATACTGATACTATGTATGCGTCGCCCCCCCCCCCCCCCCGGGGGCGCGGGTGCACCGAGAAATCTTATAGCATAGGCGTCGTGGCGGGCGTTTTCTGGCCACACCGCTCGGGAAACGATCTACTACAAGATGGGTCTACTACGTGATCGGGTCGGACGCGCGCCTCCAAGGGGGACATATACCCTAGTCTGTCTCTGTGCGTCCCACCGATCCAAAATGCTGGGCCACGAGATGGCCAGAGAAGCCCCCCAGATGGGCCCAGGACGGCAGAAAAGAGGTCCCCAAGAGAGGGCCCACCAGAGGGTCCCAGGACGGCCCGAGAGACCCCAATGGACGGCCAGAAAGGCCCTCGAGAGGGCCCCGGGGTACGAGGAGGGCCCCGGAGCGTTGCTCCCCGAGATGGACCCCTTCGACGCCCCCTCGATAGCCTCCCCACGAGACCTCCCTCGACGCCCCCTCGACGCCCCATCGATGGCCTCCCGTCGATAGCCTCCCCTCGATGGCCAAAAAGGCCCTCAAGAAGGCCCCGAGGCTCGAGGGGAGCGCCCCGGAGCGCTGCCCCATAAGATGCCCCACAAGAAGTCCTCAGAGGGCCCTCACGAAGGCAATCTGTACGCCGCACGCGGCAGAGGCAATCCGCACGCGCGTCTGTGCGCGACAGGGGCACGGCGTCGCGAGTTCCAGCCCGCACACTAGAGGGGGACAGCCCTTCGACGCCCGGCATGCCCCTCCCCCTCCCCCTCCCCCTCCCCCTCCCTCTCCCCCTCCCCCTCCTCGTCCTCCTCCTCCTCCTCCTCCTCCTCCTCCTGCTGCTCCTCCTCCTCCTCCTCCTCCTCCTCCTCCTCCTCCTCCTCCTCCTCCTCCTCCTCTCCTCCTCCCCTCCTCCTCCTCCTCCTCCTCCTCCTCCTCCTCCCCCTCCCCCCTCCTCCTCCTCCCCTCCTCCTCCTCCTCCTCCTCCTCCTCCTCCTCCTCCTCCTCCTCCTCCTCCTCCTCCTCCTCCCCTCCCTCCCCCTCCCCCTCCTCCTCCTCCTCCTCCTCCTCCTCCTCCTCCTCCTCCTCCTCCTCCCCCTCCTCCTCCTCAAGAAGCCCTGAGAGGGCCACCCGAAAACGCCGACGGGGAACGAGGAGGAAGCTCCCGGTTGGCCGCCCCCGCGGTCTCCAAGAGGCCCCCCACGAAGCCCCCGCAACAGACGCGGAGGAGGAGGAGGAGCACAAGCCTTAAGCGAGCACAGTCAGCCCGTATGAGAAGGATTCGAGTGGGGGCTCGACCACAGAATTGATTTACCCCAGAATTGATTTTCACGTCGAATCTTCAGCAACAATGCGCAGAGTGCTCGTATATTTACAACAGAAGTAGATCTACGAACTTTCGACATATGTTCCTTGGATTCGGCGAGAAAACTAATTTCTGGGGTAATTGAATTAATTATGTAATCGACCCCCTACTGGAAGGATGCTGGGTAAGCATGCAAGGGCCTTGGAAGACCATTCCGACACATTGCGAGCGGGGCGCGGCCAGCGACGGCGACCAAGGATGGGCCGAACGGGAATGATGCAAAGGTAACCGCGCACTACACACACCACACACGCGCGCACACTTTTTTTTTGGTCGCGGCCGCGAGCGAAGAGCGCAGGCGGCGAACAGGGTGTCCGGGCCGACGGGCAAGCCTAATCAGCTACTGGGCGCGACACAAGCCGGCCGGGCCAGCTCACAAAATACACGCGCACACACGCGCACACACAGGATTGGACGTTCGTTCCTCCCCCAAGGCGGCCGTCCTTTCCTCCGGGAAGGGCGTCCCCTGTCATCCTCCCGGATGGCAGATCGTCCTCTTCGTTTTCCCTGCCATCCCCTTGGCAGGGAGGGACAGGACAGGCGCGGATGTAAGCCCCGGGGGGCGGCCCTCTAAGAGCTCGGCGGGGGCGCCGGAGCGCCGAAACTCAGATGTCGTAGCACATCCTTACTGTGCGGGTTGCCTGTGCACGCAGGCAGGCCGATGGAACGCAGCAAACAAGATGTTTTTCGGCATCGGAATCCACACATCTCCTCCTCTGGGGGCGGCCGACTGACGCAAGCCTCCTCGAGTAAGTGCAGGGACTTATGAGGCTTACAGCATCTCGGGTCGGGAGGGTGTATTGCAGCATCGTTGGTGCATCTTCGGGCGTTCTCTGGTCCTTCTCCTCATCCTCTTCTATCACTTCCTCCCTCTCCACTCATGTTAACCCTCATCATTGTGGATTCCGCTCGAGTCAGACCCTGAATAGAGAAGGCTTGGGCAGGCAACACAGGCTATGGATGATGGCTATGAGCACCATCATGACTCTCTTCCCCCACCATCAACAAGCGTATGTGAGAACTGGCAGTCAATTCTTGTACGCGGATTGGAGCAGCGGCGAGATGTTCGGGCAGGCCTTGTACCCTGGAGTGTGGTAGGTGTTGACCTTGCTGGTCGCCAACCTCATCGTCACCAGCGCGCCAGCTACCGCGAACCCTGCGTCGATCGGGTCGACAACTGGGACATGCAGCTGGGCCTCGAGATCCTCTTTGAGGCCCGCCATGCCCGCGCACCCGAGCACTATCACCTCAGCGCCCTGCTCGACCAGCTCCCTGGCCGTCTGCAAGATCATCGCGTGCACATCGCCCTCCAAGTCGAGGACGCGGTCCAAGCAGCCGCGCACGCCACAGCACCGCTCCTTGACCCCGTAAGTCTCGAGCGCGCGCCACAGCAATGGCTCCCAGCGCCTGTTCGAGGTGACGATCGCAAACTTCTCTCCCACCAGACAGGCCAACATCACCGAGGCCTCGAGAATGCCGACCACGGGCTGGACTAGCGCCTCACGCGCAGCAGCAATCGCCGAGTGATCGGAAATACACGCGACTACCACGGCGTCAAATGTGCCACGGCGGCGCAGAATCTCTTCCAACGTTGGCACGGCGCTCAAGACGTCGTCAAAGTCGCCCTCGATGGAGGCCGGGCCGGTCGCGGGGTTGATGCACACTGCGTCGAGCTGTGGCCAGCCCTTGGCACGCGCGGCCATCAGCTCCGTGAATGAGCTTGAAGAGTTCGGGTTGACGACCAGAATCCGTGGCTTGGCTGGTGCGCGGTCTGTGCAATTGGCGGGGGACGGCGTGAAGGGCAGCGTCACAACCGACGCGGCGGCAAGGCGCAGATGACGCACACTGCTCCGCATCGCTCACAACTCATTGAGAGCGCGCTCGAGTCGCGAGCCGACAAGGCATTGAGCAAACTTGGTTACATATGCAGATGAAGATGATAATCATGGAAATGGTGATGATGACGATGACATTTTCTCGGCTGAGGCGGATAATAATTGACTCACATCTCACATCTGAGGACAACCTGCTGGCATGTCGGTCTGGTCGTTGAAAGCTTGTGTTGCCATTTTCAGACACTGTGCAACTTCGGGTTTCATTGACTTCGGCAAGTTCGGAGAGTCCCTGGCGCGCTCTAGTGCCATCATCGCCTGCTTGGATCGCTGTTGCAACGAAGTCATGACCATAAGGGCTTGCCCCTTCCGCAACCACGCTTTCGCGTTGCTATCATCGAGCTCAACAGCATTGGAAGCCTCCACATTTGCGCGCATGCCCAACTTTCGTATAACATCCGCCTTCTCTTGCCCTGGCGTTCCAGCTTTCCGTTCTCGTTTCACGATCTGCAGTCTCGCCATGGCGCAGTTGGTGTAGAGGATTGACAGCTGTTTCCTATCATCGGGTGCCTCGGGCTCGTCGCCAACTTCGTCCTCCAACGCTTTGATGGCTGCACTATACAAAACAATGGCCTTTTCGAAATCATCTGCCATGTAGCTGTCTGTACCTGCCTGTTTTATAGACTTCCAATTTCCAAGCCCAGCGGCAGCAATGCTGCTGTTCGCGTCTGCGACCGAAGGGGGTGCAGACGAGGCATCAGCTGCTGGTCCAGTCTCGCCTGGCGGATGGCTTCTGGAATCTACGACGTCCCCTCCGCCAACCGACGCACTGTCAGTGCCGGCTTTTTCGCCGAGGCAGGCCTGCCCAGCTTCGGATTCGCCGTTGTCCTGCTGCTTGTCCATCCCCTGTATTTCAGTGAGCAACCATGAACGATGTCAACACGACGGCGCAAAAGTTCTTTACTGAAGCTTTGATTCGCCGACCCCCTGGGACGCTCTCGGCGTGTGAGATGGCTGCTCCTCCCCGACCCATTCCCCAGGAACCCTGGTCCAGCCCGATTTGGAAGGGGAGGGGGGGGGGTCACACTGATTTGGCCCGGCGGACTCATCTGGCTATGGAAAGCTCCGAGGCGCGTGCAATCGCCGAAGAAAGCTACATAAGGTGGACAAGTGCTCCAGGGCGGCCCAGGATATGTTCAAGATGGCCCCACGCAGCCCCAGAAGCTCCAAAGACGGCCCAAGAACGCCCTGGGAGGATCTCCAAGAGGGCGCCAAGAGGCAATCACCTTTGATTGACACATGTTTTCTACATGTTCATATACACGCATTTTCGATCTTCAGGGTGTCTTCGACAACCCAGGAGGCCCCCAAGGTCGCCCAAAGACGGCCAAGAAGGTCCCCGAGAGGGCCCCAAAGCAGCCCCAAGATGGCCCAATAGGCTCCCAAGACTGCCCAAAAGACCCCAAGAGGGGGAACTCGAATGGACCCAGGAGAACCTCCCCACAAGATGGCCCCCAAGACCCCCAACATGCCCCCCCAGAGGACCGAGATGCCCGCAAGAAGCCCCCCAAACGACCCAAGAGGGCCTGCTTGCATCACGGCTTTGGGTTCTCCAGCTGACCGCAAGGCTCCAACACGCTTCTACGATAACGCCCACCAGGGTGGAGGCATCCAAGGCTCCGAAGATGTCGGCTGTACGGCGTAGGCCACTGAATCAACCAGGAAACCTAATCAACCAACTTGGGCCACAACTGATACGGCCAGTGGTGGTGATAGAGCCCCGCCGCTCAGAGAATATCGGCGTCACTACAAAAACTAACTCAACGGTCCCACGAGGCCTCACTCTGCATCCAATGGCAAAATGGAAAACAGAAGATGCAGCAACCCCATCCTGCCTCCCGCACTTTCCTCCTCCCCCGCCCTTTCCTTCAGCTCTCTCCTTTCCTCCCCTTGTTGTTGGGCCTACCTCCGCCCCGCCGCTTCCTCCCTCCCTCCTCAGCCCCGGGGCGTGGCCACCCTACCGACTGCTTTGTGGTGCGCTCTGGGCCCGATGTCCACACCCTGGCCGGCCGAGGCCTGGCCGGGGTGCGGCCGCGGGAGAGTGGCTCCAGGCCCCGCCCAGGGGAAGGGCGCGCTTCGTGCCGACGGCGCGCGCGCGCCCCCTGCTTTCGCGTGGGCTTCCCGCGGACGGATCGGCGAGCTGCTCTGGGGATGCACGGCGGGGCAAGGTTTTGGGAGCCCAGGAATCTGGGCGTATATTTCTTCTCGTTGCTTCTGGCCCCCTTGTCCCCAAGCCCGCGCGCATGTACGCGGCCCCCCCTCTCCGCGGGGGAAGTTTCGAGCAGAGGGTACGCTCGCGTGGCTGCAGAGCGATGTGTCAGAGCATGGTCTATTATATATATATGCTTCGATTGCTTCATGTGGCCCACACACGCTCCGCAGCCACGAACCCTGAGCGGCTGCCCTGGTAGGCAGGGCAGCGGGGAGCTCGCTGCAGTCGGTGCTCACGGAGACCCCCAGCTGACCGCTCGGGTAAGCCAGCAGTCACGTCCTTTGAGCACATTCATCCACCAGTGGCCAGAGTGCGGAAAAACATGTTGCTGTACCTCATCGTCCTCCTCCGCATCCGCGACACTGCGGGACCGCTGGGATGGACCAGGGCCGCAGGTGTTCGGGCGCCCCTGCCTGTCGACTAAAGGCCAGTCTCATACAGTGGATCTGCGCTGGCAGTCGGAGTCTGTCATGTTTCCCTACTGTGTGGAAGACGTCATTGTCCGACCACGCTATGGTGTACGCTGACCCGACAGATGTGGTACATCACAAGCGTGCGGACGTGCTCACCTCGTGGGCGTTCAGGGCTCTCCCGCCCGACGCGCGCGCCGACCTGAGGCGCGGGTGCGCTTGACCTAGAATGTGCATATTACAGGTCCGCAGCGCAGACCTCACAGGTCTTATCCAGCCTATGGACTGGACCAGGGTCGCTGACCCAGGCTGCCTTCCCCTCCCCTCCCTTCCTAGGGACACGAAGAATGCCATAAACATAAAACTCGGAGGTCCGCGCGGATTTCTCGGATCCGCGCTGGGCGGAGCGCGCCAGGGGCGGCGCCTCCGGCGCCGCCAGGGGGCGGCCCCAGCGCCGATCCGAGAAATCCGCGCGGACCTCCGAGCTTTCATGTTTATGGCGTCCTTCGTGCCCTTGGCCTCTCCCTCCCCCCCCCCTGCCCCCCACTTTCCCCCCGGCCGCAGCGTCGTGCCCGCGGGTCGGCTCGTCTGCTGGTCCTGCCGCCCTCGGCTGCCGCGCTGCCCCGACCGCTGCGCGGCTCTGCCTCGCGGCCCCGCGGGGTCTCGAGGAGGCGCGGTCGCCCCAGAACGGAGTCGACCGTGCTTCCGCCTGGCGAGGCTCCCCTCGCTCATTTTCGGCGGCGGCCTCCAAGTCGGTCCCAAGACGCCTCTCCGGCAGATAAGATGGCCACAAGGAAAGATGGCCCCAAGATGCCTCCGAGTCGGCCCAAGATGGTCCCAGGACGCTCTAAGATGGCTCCTGGGCGGTCCAAGAGGCGCCCAAGTGGCACCCAAGATGCCCAAGAGGACCCCATGAATCGGCGGCGAGCGAAGGGGGAACGTGAGAAGGAGGCGGCCTTCTCAGAAGGCGGCGGGGCTTCTCAGAAGCCCCCCGGCCTTCCGAGGAACAAATGTTCTCTGTCTTCGGGGAGGCCGTGGGAAACTTCTCCCTGCCGAGCCTTCTGAGAAGGCCCACCCCTTCTCACTCCCCCCCGGGCGCGCAGCCGATGTTCAACCTGGCGAGGTTCCTCTCGCTCGTCTTGTGCGAGCCCGCCAATCTCATGCTCAAGCCGTTCTTCTTATTTGCTCCTGCTGTCCATCCAACTCGCCTTACTTTTGCCATTATATGAAGCTCATGACCTGGTCTCAAACCAGCAACACTTTTCAGCGCTTGTGGTCGTACCTGATTTGAGGTCACACCCTCGGGCGGTACTTTTCGCTTCCTTGTTGTCCTATTCTCGGCAACGCCATGAACCGTGGTTCCTCACATCGAACTCCGCTCCTTCAAGGACTTCCACGTCCGCGCTGTGTACGCGCTCTGGCATACACGTACAAGGACATCATGTTCTGAGCGTGCTCTCCCCTTTTTCCACGCGCTCCTTCTCCTCCCGCCGCCCGCTGTGCCCAATTCGGCCCCGCGCATCTCACGTCTGCTTTCGAACGCGGTGAGGATTCTCGCTGCTGCGTCCAGCAAACTTCCCCACAGCTTCTCTACAATGCCTGTCGTAATGAAGACCGGCTCTGCTCTCATCTGCTGAGCCCTGCTGAGCTCAGCTCAGCTGTGTCCCGCTGTGTTGTCCTCGATGAGTTGTTCGATCTCGCGACGTGAAACACACAATACAGAAATTGCGCTGCTGGAGCGTTCCAGGACCTCGTACCCTAATCTGCCTTGCCCGTTCCCAGACAAAGACCAACAAACAAGCGGGAGCATTCAGGCATCAAGAGGAAGCGCACGGCGCAGTGTTTGGACAGATCCACACATTGTTGACCCACACCCCCACACGCGCAGACACGAGAACTTCAAACTGACACAGATGCCCGCCGCGGGCGCCGATCCTCTGAAAGCAGTCCCCGGAAAGACACGCAGAGACAGCCTTTAGATCCGAACCTGGCGTCGCTGGTGGACTCCCGACGGCGCCCGGCCAGACTCCCCAGCGGCCCCCCGGGGCCCCCCCAGACCTGCCCCTCGGCGACGGAGAGTGGGACCATGACTGAGTGACAGCTGTGCGACCCGAGCCAGCCAGCACGTGCCTGACATGATATGCGATGCGCCACCCTGGACATCCTGCGCTCCCCGATCCGACGCCGCCCTGGACACCCCGCGGCTTGATGTTGTTCCAGACACGGGTCGGGGGCCCACTGACCCGGGTCAATCCAGACCCGGGTCAGTCAGGCCTTGCAGGATCCCGCGGGACCATCCTGCAAGATCCTGCGCCCAACCCCGGGTCAGTGCAACCCTGGCCCTGCAGGATCCTGCAAGATCCGACGCTCTGACTGACCCCCGTTTGCGATGACCCCTGTCTCTTGAGCCCCGGATGGGGCCCCAGCCAGATCTCCTGGCCCCTTCATCCCCGAGGTCTGGCTTTTCATTCTGAGCACTTGTGTTAGCGGTCCTGGGGCCCAGCACTGGTCCCGAAAGTCCAGCATGGCGGAGGAAACTGCCACCTCGATCTTCCGGACCTGGCGGACGTCCAGGACCGTGTGGCCCTGGGCGAGGCCACAGACAGGCCCCCGCCCTGGGCCCCCAGCCAGGCCCCCAGGCCCCGCGACGTCGAGCGCGCCCCCCTGCCCCCCCCACACCTACCCAGCCCGGTCCCACACGCCACCTTCCAGGCGGGAGGAAGGAAGGAAGCAGTCCCACCAGCCATGTCGGCGTAGGTTTTAGCCAACTTGAGATTTTCCAGCCTCCTTCTTCCCCTTGCGGGACAGGTTTACCTCTCCCTCTACCCCCGTCGCCTTATGTCTGGACTGGGCCTTTCGCGAGGGCCTGGAACATCCAAGATGGCCCAAGACGGCCCCAAGTGGGCTCCAGATAGCCAAATATGGCCCCCAAGGTCGCACAAGGTAGCTCAGGATGGTTCAACATAGCTCCCAACATCATGCCTCCAAGAGGCCTCAAGACCGCCTCAAGACGGTCCCCAGTGCCACGGAGCCCCTGGCTCCTCCGAGTGGCCCGAGTCGTTCGCAAACCTTGGGACACCATTGCTGTTTGCCCTTTCGCCTTGTCGCTCTCGAGGCCCCAGGGTGGCCCGCGAGAGCCCCCCAGGAGGGCCAAAGGAGGCGCCCAAAGAGACAGCGCCGAGAGCGCCCCAACTGCGTCGGCCTCCTGCGGGGAGTCCCTGGTCCGCGCCGCGCCACTCTTTTTTTTTGGGGGGGGGGCGGTCCGCGCCGCGCCACTTCTTGATCAGCCCCCCAAGATGGGGCCAAGCGGCCCTTCAAGGCCCCCCCAGGAGGGCCCCAGGAGATCTCCAAGCTGCTTCAGCAGAACCCCAAGGAGGGACCGACTGGAGTCCGACGATGGCTCCACGATGTCTCCAGGAGGCCCCTGCTGCTGCGCATCCCTCCCTGATCAGGGCAACTCGCCTGGTGATTGTTTTTTTTCATGGGCTGATTCAGGGATCTGGGACACGCCAAGAAGTCGTGCCGCGAGAGAACAGAATCGTCTGGACGGAAGCGGGTTATGGATTGTTTTCGCCGCGCTCGGCCTCCCCAAATCCTTCCTGGACCCGGGGGAACCCCCATGCCGCTGTTCCTCCTCGTGCCGTGTTCCCTCCCTCTCCTCCCAACCTCGCTCCCTCTCCTCCGCCTCCTCCCTCCACCCGCTTTGGACGCCCGACATGGGTACGGACAGAACTGGGTACAGTGCCCAACAACAAATGCTGTCCAAAACTGACAGCGGCCGCTGTGGGGCAGGCGGCCTGGTGTCCTCAAAGAAAAACGTCCGCGGCGGCGCGGACAACGACTCCTGTCTAAATTGGGCATCGTGCCCATTCTTTCCGTACCCATTTCGATTGTCCCGACCCGCGTTCCCTGCACCTACTTTTTCCCCCACCTCCCCCACATCTCGCTCAACAGTGCCAGAGATCGCTGCCACTGCCCACCCTTCTCGCAAGCGCTGATCCCAGCGTTGTGGCTGACTAGTGTTTGCACCGGGAGGCCCTGCTGGGAGAGCTCTTGGAGCGCTCTGGGAGCCTGTAGAACCCATCTCCGCCTTCCTCTCCTCCGTCTCCCCCCCACACACACACCTGCCAGAACGAAGAACCACCGCAGCCGGCCCCGGCAAAAGAGGTTATTTGGACTTCATCTGAAGACGGGTGTGTGTCGTTCGCTCCCCCTCGCCCCCCCGGGCCCCCGCCCGTTCGCATCCTCTTCCTCCTCCTCCTCCTCCTCCTCCTCCTCCTCCTCCTCCTCCTCCCCCGTAGCCATTTTGGCTCAAGTACGAAACCGTGGCCCTGCGGCTTCGTACTTGCCTGCAGCCGAGGGGCTGGCTCGAGGCGAGCTGCCCCACAGTAGGCCCTCCGGGGGTGGCAGGGCAGCCCCTGCCTCAGGCCCTCCACCTTCGGTTTTCGGCATCGGAAGGTTCTGAGCCAGAGCTCCGCACGCAACCACGGTCTCTCCAACCAGTCTGTTTCTTGGCACCGTCGCCCTCGTCAGCGCTGCGCCATGGCTCCCCGCGGCAAGTACCTGGTGTGCCCCCGCGCCAGCTGCCGCGGGTGTGAATGGGCGCCTGCCAAGGCTTGCTTGCAGTGCGGCGCGCACCTCCAGGCCGACGGCCAGCGGACCAGAGCGAGCAGCAGGCAGCCCTCCCATCCGCCCTGCGCCAGTGGTCGAGGAGGGCGCAGCGCCGCCTGGGAACCTCGAGTCCGCTTCGTGGACGGCGGCAACGAGGAGCAGCCATCGCAGCAGCAGGCGCCAGACAAAGAACCAGAAGTCCCCGCCCAGCCAGACCCAGTCGCACTGGCGCAGGCCCAAGTCACCTTCTTGAAGAAATGGGTCGGAGTCAACGGGCGCGAGTACACTGACGCCTTGGAAATACTCGAGAATGTGAAGATGGAAGCCCTCAAGGGCAAGAATTTTGACCAGCAGACCCAATCGCTCAACGGACATATCATTTCGCTCAAGGCCAAGCTCACCGACCTCGAGGAGGACCTCCAGACGACCGCAGACCAGATCGCAGAGCTGGCCAGCCACTACCAGTCCAGGGTGAAAGAGATCAAGGATGCCCGCGAGGGACTGCACATGCTGGAGGCCCAACGTGCCATGGCAGCAATTGCAGCAACGCAGAAGGCATCAGCATCGTCTGACATATCCGAGCTGGTCTACGCGGCGTTGAAGGCCAAGATCCCAGCAGGAGGTTCCATGCCCGCGGCCCTACAGCAGCAAGTGCAGACGCTCGCGGCCACTTTCAACGAGATGCAGCACCAGCATGAAGCCGCACTCGCCCAGCAGACCGCCCAGCTCGTGGCGACCACCGCAGCCAGCTCAGCCGCCGCGGGTGCCCAGCCGAAGGCATCATCGTCGCAGGCCCCGCCCATGTTCGCCGCGCCGCCCGCCACGCTCCAGATGCCGCCAGCCGGCGCAGCGGAGCAGCCCGTGGACGTGGACCAAGACGAGGAGGACGACGCCATGGATTCCGTGGGCTTCGGCTGCGGCGACAAGCGCACATCCTCCCAACCTCAGGAGATTGCCAACCTCATGGACGCCAACGGCGACGCCGAGACGGCCAAGAAGGTCAAAGACGCAGTCGCAGCAGTGGCCGCGGCGAGTACGTCGCAGGTTTACCACGATCAAGCTCATTACGTTTAACGGCAGTTGCTGGAACACGTTCGAGCAGTTTCTGGAATCGAACTGGTCCAACGACGTGACAGTGATCTGTGCCCAGGAACGCAGGCTAACTGATGGGGACGTCATCAACCAGAAGATTCAATGGTGCCAACGTCGGGGTTGGCTCGCTCACATTCCAGCTGCCAGTTTCAACGCCAGCCACGAGAAGGCCAACGGAGTGGCCATCCTGGTCCGAGACCACTTGGGCTTCTGGGTGGAGCACATGGTTTCCAGCCCTCGGTGGACTCTAGCCGCCTCGCAGGCATCTGCCTAGAAGCGCCAGGAGTCTCCAAGGTGGGCATTCTGTTTATAAACTTTAAAATAAGGGAAAACTTATGTGAGATAAGCTTAGGCTGGCTTTCCCGGGAATTGATGCTCAGCAGGAGCGCGTTTAGTTCCCCATCATCGTGGCGGGGAATTTCAACGTGCCCCCCCCGCAAGATCGATTCCCTTGACTACATCCACAGGGCCTCCGTGCGCCTTGTGGCCCCGGAACCCCGACCTGCAGGAAACCGAAGTCCCAATCCATCGTGGACTATTTCCTGATCAGCAACCCCCTGGCAAAGAAGATTGACGAGGTCCAGACCTGGGCCAAGTGCCCCCTCGCGCCCCACAGGCCAGTCTGCCTAGACTTTCGAGGCAACGACAATTTCACGATTCCCGTGCTGGCGAGCGAAGCCGCAGAGGCTACCGTCTACAGCGCCCGTGGGCCCGCAGCAGTGCTCGAGAGAATGGACCCAGAGTAAATCTGTTCTAGTTTATGCCGACTCCCTACCTACCGATGCCACCTCGCCTCTCAGCAAGCAGCAGCAACGATCGATCCCCGATTATTGTTACTTCGCCGCCGTCAAAAATCTCGAAAAGTCAATCGGCAGCATTACCGACAAGCCGCTGATACACAGCTCGAAACCAAGAGCCAGCCCCCCAGAGATAAAGTGGCCCCCTGCCAAACAACGAGAATCCCGAGTTCGATCGAGCTGGAGGTCTCTGGAAGGCCCGTATCGATGGCGACGAAATCTTCTCGTCAACATCAATTTCGCGGTAGGTGAGCAGGACTGGTCGCAGGTAACGTTTCAGATAGCGGGGCTACGGGACCCGCCAGAAGAGTTGCACGCCGTCCACGACCTGAAAGCCAGGTTGCAGACGGTCACCCCGTGGTGCGAATTACTGCTGGCTGACATCGCAGCTGGAGTCTTATCCGAGGGCACAACCGACCAGGCCATCGGCCAGTTTCTCCAGGACCTTGACAAAAACATCGGCTCCGAGAGGAAAAAACAGTTTTCGGAAGCGTCTAAAGCCTGGGCTTCATGGGTCCAAAGTTCGCGCCAAGAAGGCGTCGGCTGGGCTCGCATATGGACTGGGTGTCTAGACGCTTGGAAGCCAGCTACCACATACTTGCGAGGAAGATGGCCTGGACGACCAAGCAGCATTTTAGAGGGCGAAAAGAAGAGGCTCGCGAACATCTGGGACGTGTCCGACACCCCGAAACAAAGCCCCATACCCAACGACATGGATGACCGGGTCGCGCTGGGCCCCATGACGGGAGAGATCATTCTAGAAGCCGCAAAAAGCCTTCTGCCTCGGACCGCTTCGACCTGGGACGGTTTACACCCCAGGCACTTCGCCTCTTGATCACAGAACAGCAGGCTGATCTGGTCGCCAATGTGCTCCTCATAACCGAACGGCTAGGTTTCATGCCCGCGCAGATACAGGCGATTGGTTCTGTTCTGATCATGCAGCACAAACAGCAACACCCGCAAGCAACGAAGCCAGCAATGATATCCATTGGAATGATGTCGGGTCTGTATAGAGTGTGGGCTAGAGTAAGACAGTCAGCTGCGCGCGAATGGGAACGCCATCGTAGGCGGCCTGTTGCTCGCTCATCAAGCAGGCCACCCAATGGTAGAAATTGTGTTCAAGCAAAGCCTCGATTGCGAGCGCTACAGCAAGCGTGACTAGCGCCTTGTTTCTGGTATGATTCTCTACGATCTCAGCAACTACTATGGGCACATCGAGGGAGACAAGCTGGCTACGCGAGCCCTTCGCAACGGGTCCCCTGCTACCCTACTTCGTATTATCCTCAGCATGTACGCTAGCCAGCGATATGTCGCCCTCCAGGATCTCGTCGTGTCGGTGGGGCATACTGTATATGGTATAGCAGCGGAGTGTGGGTCTGCAGCGTATCTCATGCAGATGTACCTGGGCCCAGCACAATCCCAATTTAGACCTGTTCATGTTCATATATGACCTCCTCATGAAGTCGCACGCGCGCCAGGCCAGTGCAGTCATGGCCAGACTAGATCGGGGGTCCCGCAGTTTAACCCAGTGCATCCAGCATGACCTCGACAGCTGAGCCGCCCCTGCCAAGACTCAGATGCTCGCCTCCACTCCAGAGCTGCGCAAGGGAATAAAGAGAAATCTTCGCGAGAGAGCAGGCGCGATGCTGGACATCTCAGGCCCGAACCTCGGCTGCGAGACCGCAGCTGGCGCCCCCCAGTGCAAATGGAGGAAGGACAGGCTCGCCGCGGCAAGGATGAACACGATCTAGAAACGGAAGAGGAGGCTGGGGGCGATCAGGAGGAGTAGGAGGAGATACCGGGAATATCTATAACACGGGCATCTTCGCAGCCGCATCTTTTGGACATGAAGTGACAGGCCTCAATAACTCCCAGCCCGCGATAGCCCAACAACAGTATCTAAAGTTAGCTGGACCCGAATGCGCCACCAGAAGCAGGGTCCTCAGCTTGCTCCTCGCGGGCGACCCAACCTGGAAGCTAGCTCTGGGACCTGCTCTAGTGTGGCATTGAACTGTCTGGACAGCCGCCACCAATGCAGTCCAAAGTCTTGCTACCTTGTCGGCCCTCCGTTCCCGCGGTGAGGCCCTCATGGGCCAAGCCCCCACTCGTTGGGGCAGCGTGCGCGGGCCTTTCGGGGCCATGCTGCGATCCTTGCATCGCATCGGCTGGACTCTAGTTCCGCCTTTAGTTTTTCAATCCAAGGAAGGCGCGCGACACCCTTTGACTTGTTTCGTTCGCCCGCGTTTGTCCAGGAACTCACGCAGAAAACTTGGGTTCGCCAACTGCGGCGGCAAGCAGCCGGCAAACTGGGCCACCCGGACGCCGCCTTGGATTACACTATAGCGACCAGCGTTACAGAGCCCAACCCTCAGCACACAAGAACGAGGGAGCCGTTTAACCTTCTTTTTAACTCAAGGGCGCTGGACCAAGGCCAGAGCCAAAGACGCGGGTTACCTTGTAGATTGCACATGCGGGTGTGGCGCCTCGTCGGATTGCCTCCGTCATTTGTTGTTCGAATGCCCGCTGCCCCAACACGGGGGGGGGGCATTGCGTTCTCGACCGATGAGCTCGGGCCCATCTTGCGCCATGACAGAGGCCCGCTAATTCAGTTCGGATATCAGCAGGAGCCTGACTTCTGCATCGGAGCCCCCCCCCCCCATGAACTGGATTGGACAACTGCCAGTTCTGGTGTCAGGGCGCCAATGTTTCTCTGGAAGAAGCCTTCGCGGGGAATGTATATGTTGACGGCAGTTGCGACCCTTCCGTGCACCCTGCCCATCAGACGGCGGGCTGGCCAGTTGTTTCTATGAAGAGAGGAGAACCCTTCGCGATTTTGTCTGGCCACGTGTGCTCGGACTTTCCGCGAGGGTCTGGGGTTGCCGAGATGCCTGCCACTGTTGCTGCTTGCTCCATCCCTCCGCTCGTCGAACAAGTCCATGCGGACTACGCTGGGGCTTTGCAGTTATACGAGAATCCAAGATATCCTAGTAGGAACATCCACGCAAGTTTCAACATCCCGATGGGCCGCGCCGTCGCGTCGCCCGAGAGATGTCTCGTCAAAGTCAAAGGTCGCCAGGACCTCTCGCAAGACTTTAACGATAACGACGCTTATAACCACGCCAAAGGTAACGACGCCGCGGACAAAGCAGCCAAGCGAGCCGCCACCTCTCATTTCAACGGGCCTTCGGAGACCGAAAAAAAAGCTCGGCAACTCCGATCGGAGTTTGTTGCGCCGTTTCCTGTTTTACGTGGCCCAGGCCCTTCCCAAGTGGCCCCCTTTAGCCCCTCGCCCTGGGAAGAAAGCCCTGGCCGAGCCCGTTTCTAGCAACCCGCCGATGGGAGCAGCCTCCGCTGCCTACGCCTGGGATCCTGGGGCCGCCCCTTCCCCTCCGCGGCCTCCCCCCTCTTCCGCCGCCCAGGGGAATTCGGGCGTGGCCCATCGGTGGGGGTATCTTTACGGTAAGCACGTGTGCGCCCTGTGCCGCGCCAGTGCCAAGGATCTGCATCAATACAACCGTGGGATCAGTGAGCGATGCCCAGGATTCTGTGCTGGCCTGGCCTCGTTAGCGTAAAACCCTCGTGGACAACGCCTGCGTCTTTCCGAGTACGAGCTCCATGAAAGCAGGCTCATTTTGTGCTTTGCGTGTGGATCCTACTCGGAAGCGGGAACCAGGGGCCGTCTTTTCAGCCAGTGCCCCTGCGTACCAGAGTCCAGCAATGCGCATGATCAACTTTCGAGGGCGAGGGACCTCGTCCACCCTAAGCGCGGCCCCCGCGCTGACAAGGTTGTCAAACCTCCAGTGCACCTCGAGCTCTTCTGTCGCCAGGCCCTGGCTGAAGCTCAGCAGGCAGTTTCGACTCCGGCGGAGGGAAGTTCTGGCCCGTCATTGCCCTTTGTAGCTCAAGAGTCCAGGTAGGCCCACACCAGGGACGTGGCCTGCCACTGTCCTGGCGTTATCTACACCAGGGGTTGGCGGTGCCGCGTCGTCCTGGCGTCGCCTCGTGACATTATTGTGTGTGCGTGTGTGTGTGTGTGTGTGTGTGGTGTGTGTGTGTGTGTGTGTGTGTGTGTGTGTGTGAATGTGTGCGTGTGTGCGCGCGCGCGCTTCCGCACGCGTGTCAGGCACCCTGTCTCAGGGGAAGGCGCGCTGGAGTACTCACCCTCTGGGGCACAGCTGCACAGAGGGCCTTCACAGGTGTGCTGGGCACGGGGGTGAACCTGGTTCAGCCAGTCCGCCCCGACTGTCGCTCGCCCACCCTTTTTTTTCCTCGGTTGCCTAAGCCCGCTGCAGGTTCGATCTGGGGTCTTTGAATTGTCCTGGCTGGCGGTGCTGGTGACGCGCGGCCAGCCCTGGAACTCGGGCCGTGGGGTTCCGTCAACCAGGCGATGCTGGCCGTCCTTTTCACTGCGGCGTGCTGTTTGGCCTTTCCCTGTTGCACGGCCGTGGGGCGCTGGCTGGCTCCCCCACGGTGACTGTTCCACAGGAGGCCGCCCTCCGTGGGGTCTGGGCACGGGGGTGGACTTGGTCGGCCAGTCCACCCCGACCGTTGCTCATCCCCGCCCCTCCCCCCTTGCCCTGTGCGGGCGGCGGAGGTGAGAGCCGTTGGGGCTAGGTGTGCAAACGCCACATCTGGGCCCATCGCTCTCGTGCAGCGTCCTGCCGTCTCAGCGGCCTGATGGTTCACCCGCGGCCGTTGTGGAGAACATAGGTGGCCCAGTGCCACAAGGTTTTGGATTAGGGCCGGGTCGGCCAACTCTTAGCCTCCCTCGTCAGCCATGTGATGGTCCTCCTCCTCCTCCTCCTCCTCCTCCTCCTCCTCCTGGTGTATGCCTGAATGCCTGAAGGCAGAAAAGTCGCACTGACGTTGCCCTCCTCCTCCTCCTCCTTCTCCTCCTCTTCTTCTTCTTCTTCTTCTTCTTCCTCCTCCTCCTCCTGAATGCCTGAACGCCTGAAGGCAGAAAAGCCGTACTGACGCTGCCCTCCTCCTCCCCGCCCTCCGCCACGGAAGGTGCCGCATAAGACCTCGCCGCTGGCGCTTGGCCATCGGCGCGCGGGAAGCTCGCACTCCTCGCAGTGAAGCTCAGCGCGGGCAGCCTTGCTGGGCCAGACCTGCTGCTTCCTGCCGTGCCCTCCCGGCCGTCTGGGTGCTGGAATGCACCTTTTATGGCATGCTCGGTGATTCGTTGGCGGCTCAGTTTAAGCTGTGGCTCCTCCTCCCTCCCTCGTTCCACCTTACCCGTCTCATCCTACAGTCGGGCTGCTGAGATGAGGAACGCTGAAACAAGGAACGGAGCCAGAAACGCCTGCGTGGACGAGGGGCGCTAGGAGAAACGGTCCTGGAAGGACCCAAGAAACATCGAGCCGCTTCCGAACCCAGAGCGTTCCTTGCTTCAACGTCTTGGCCGTACGGTCGGACCTGGTCGACCAACTCTGGAGGAGGTCGAGAGGGGGGTGCGAGATAGAGGGGCGGGGTGCGGCCGGACCTGGGCCCGAAGAGCATCCTCCAAGAATATGAGGTCCTCCGCTGGCCCAACCAGAAGAATACTCGAAGGGCATCCTCCCCCAGGATGCACATGCGCATCCATCAAACACGATAACATTACAGTTGACCCGCATAGTATGGATGACCAACTTTCAAAGGTTACCCTTGCATCCTTGCCCCTTCGGCCCATCCCTGGCAACTTTCGCTGGCCAGCCCCGTAGGTTACCCTTGGGGTGGGCCCTCCAAGGCCCTTGCATCGTTCCAGCGCATCCTTATCATCCGAGGACGGACAGAACCCCCTGCAGTAACACGTACGACCTCAGGCCTGAACCTGGCGGGCGCAAACCTGGAAAATTACGGCCGCGGCGCCCTCTCGGGAGCCGAAAACGGACACTTCAGACGTGTCAGAATGGGGGGCTCTGTCCACCCCCGAATTGTACGGGTTGACTGTAGGCTAGCCTCCCCGAACCGACCTTGATCTTACTCGGGGGCGCGCAAACATGGATTAGCGATCCATGGGTTTGGCGCGCGGTCGCCAAATCCTTCGTCGGGGGAGGTGCCCTCCCCAGAAGTGCGGCCGCGTTGCCGCCTCGTTCGGCGGCGAAAATCCGCGATTCCCCACGGAAGCGGGGCCCGTCGCGAATCCAGGCCCCCCTGATCCGTGCTTGCGATCGCCGGACCCACGCCTGGGCCCCACCGTGCTCCGCCTCCCCCCTTGGACGACCGCGGCCCCGCAGGCCCCCCCCCTGGCCCCCTCCCCGCGACGCACAGCTCTGGATCCGCGGGCCCCCGCGGGGAGCGGAGGCGGGCAGAGAGAACTAAGGGGGAACGGCAGCGGCAGCGGCCGCGGCAGGGGGGCTGGCGGGGATCGGCAGCGGCAGCGGCAACGGCAGCGGCAGCATCTCCTCCTCCTCCTCCTCCTCCTCCTCCTCCGCCTCCTCCTCCTCCTCCTCCTCCTCCTCCTCCTCCTCCTCCTCTTTCGCCGGCAGCAAGTTCTGGAGGAGGTCGAGGAGGGGGTGCCATACAGTGGGACGGGGTGCGGCGGGCCCTGCAATCAACCCGTATAGTAGTAAGGGTGCGCGACATGGATGTAAAAGGGCCTCAGACACCCCTTTCGAAGCTTTTCGAGCGGGGCGCGGCCAACGAAGGTGCGAACGATGGACCGAGGAGGCGAGTTTGCAAGGGCACCCTTAGGAAGGTTGCCCATCCTTACTATGCGGGTTGACTGTATGCCAGAGTGGCATCCTTCAAGAACATGAGGCCCTCCCCTAGGGTGCAGACTGAAGAACACTCGAGGGCATTCTCCCCTAGGGTGCACAAGAGCATCCAACAAACAAGAAAAACATTAGGGTACCCTCCCCGAACCGACTTCGATCTTTTACCTCGGTCCGACCGTATAGAGGGGCGGGGAGCCAGTGCTGGAAGTGGCGATGGTACCTGCGTTAGCCGCAAGCGCGGCATCACGATTTCAACATTGGCACCAACACGCCTTGATCCCACACCCCTGCTCAACCTCCAGGGCGCAACACCAGCTGAGGGGGACGGGGGGGCTGGAGTGAAACTCTGGTGCCCACGCAGCCCATGCAGGAGGCCTCCCCCCAGACAGTGTTTGCACTGAGGGGCTCTCGCATCTCTTACCAAACAATGGGCAACCTGCGCAGACTTTTTGGGGGAGGAGCAGGAGATGGGAGCGGGCCGCGATACTACACACAACACACACACACAAAACTCGCCTCGCCAGGCGTGCTGGCAATTGTCATGTCCGTCGCACGGCTGCCCTGTGGCCGAAACGCCGGTCGGGGAGGACGGCACCAGGCCTCGCCACGACCACGCTGCCGCTCACTGCAGGCTGGCCGTCGCCCGCGGGCGCGTCGTGGCCACGCCGTCCGCTGGCTGGGCCGTCCGTGTCTCGGGCCGGTCGTCGCCCGCGGGCGCCTCGTGGCCGCCTCGCGCGCGGCCCCCGAAAGCCTGCACGGCGTCGTCTGCGTCACACGGGCTCCTCGCCCGAGCAAGAACCGAACTCGGCCTCCCTGCCGAGACGGACCGACGAGCCACCATCCCAGTCCTGTTCTCCCCGGGCCTTGTCCTGCACGGTCGTTCGTGCCTATGCCCCCTGGCTTTGGGTTCTCGTTCTGCATACGTAGATAGAGCACCGTTCGCGCGTCTCATGCTTCTCCTCATCCCTTCCTCCTCGCTTCCTGCCACTTGCCTGCCATGCTTCCTATCTCCTGTCTGTCCTCCTTCAGAGGTTGCTGCCTGCGCAACTATCGCCACTCTCGTGGGCTCCTGGGAAGTCCAACGAAGTAAGTTATCACGCAGATCCAGACGAGCCCTCGCGGCTCCCTGGGGGGCTGCCAACTGCGCGGCTGTCGCCACGTTTGTGGGCTCCTGGGAAAGTTCAGAGGAGTGGGTTGCCACGCAGATCCAGGCCAGACCTTACGGCAGCCTGGGGGGCTGCATACTGCGCAAGCGTCGCCACTTGCTCCTGCGAGGCCAGTTCAGTGTATTGTCACGCAGATTCAGGCGAGACCTTGCGGCTGCCTGGGGCGCTGCCAACTGCGCAACCATCACCACTTTGGCGGGCTCCTGGGAAGTCCAGCGATGTGGGTTGCCACGAAGATCCAGGCGAGACCTCGCGCCTCCCTGGGGGCTGCCAAAAGCGCAACTGTCGCCTCCTTCGTGGGTTCATGGGGAAGTCCAGCGGAGTGGAGTGACACGCAGATCCAGGCGAGACCTCGCGGCTCCCTCGTGGGCTGCCGACTGCGCAACTAGAAGCCTCCTAAATGGGGTCGGAGTAGATGGGGTCACAGGATCGCGCCGCACCGCCGATGCATCGGCCATGCATCGTCGTAGGCGATGCATCGGCGACGACCGCGTGAAGAAAATCGGGATCCGCATCGAGCCGCATCGGCGATGCATCGGCGATGCGGCGCGATCCTCCGACCCCCTCTACTCCGACCCTACCTATGAGGCCTGGAGCAACTGAGGCCACTTTCGTGGGCTCCTGGGAGGTCCAACGGACGAATGCCCTCTGGGGGGCCCTCCAGAGCTGCCTTCCGTCCGGCCGCCCACAGTTGCGCCTGCGGCGATCGCGGGAGCTCCTGGCGGGGAGCACCACGCACGTTGGCGCCTCAAAGTGTGACTCTGCCAAGATAGCGAAACGCGGCTCGTGATCGGTTCGCATGCAGGAGGAGGAGAAGGAGAGACGAAGGGATGAGGGGCCCAGGGACACATAAACAAACATGCACAAATCCTAACATGTTCCTCCATTTTCAAGATTCCTTGGATGTCCGTCTCCACATCCACTTCTCATATGTTCCATATTTGCCGGGGGATCGACGATTCTTTGCGCCTGTGTGCTTTTTCCCTCCTGAGAGAAGGCGGAAGGAAGGGAGAACGGAAGGAGGACGAATCCTCCATATGGCGCCGAGGGGGGGAAAAGGGCGCCTGCGGGGCCATCCACTGACCGTCCGTCTGCTGTCAGCGCATGTCGCGGGAACGCCCTCGGTCGCCCTTGCACCGTTGATGGGCCGATTTTCCACCATCACTGCCATGGATAGGACAGGGGAGAAGGGAGGACTGGGTGGTCCTCCTCCTCCTTCTCATCCTCCTCTTCCTCCTCCTCCTCCTCCTCCTCCTCCTCCTCCCTCCCCCTCCTCCTCCTTCTCCTCCTACTTCCTCTCCTACATATGGTAGTGATGGTGATGTAAACTCGGCCCATCAGCCTTCCCCCGTCACTGGCGCGCGAAACCCGATTCCTGTGCTCGTCCACATCGGCAGCGTCGGCCGTGCCTTTTCGATTGAATCCCAAACCTTCGACGTCTCGAAGAAATCGGAGCGGTCGGCGTTTCGTCATTTATGGGTTCCAATTCAACATAACGGCTCGGGACGAAAAGCTAGCCCCAAGAAGGGGTCGAGAGGTCTGGGGCCCGTGCCTCGAAAGAATCGGGCCGCCAGATGTCTGCGACATGCCATAGAGCTGCTGCTGTTGTTCCTACTCCCCCTCCTTCTGTATGATGCTGCTCCCCCCCCATCTTACTCCCTCATTCTTCTCCCTCCTGCATGTTCCATTCCTCCCCGTCCTCTCCCCTCTCCAAGTTCTTTTGCCGGAAAAAAACTCCTCCCTTTTCACACCCCGAGACGTGTCGGTAGGGGAGGTTGGGCGTTCAGCCTGAGACTTCCTCACCACTTACGATCCTCAAACTTGAAATCCCACCAGGCCTCCAGGCCTATGTGGTTTGACGAGTTCTGTCTTATCGTTGCCAAAGCTCCCTCCTTACCCTGATAAGGGGGAGGGGCTTATACCTCCTCCCTGTTGATATACACCCCCTTCCCCAGGCGGCCGGCGGCCAACTAGGAGCAATCAGGACACCATGATTACCCTTCCAAACCATCCTTGCCAAACATCAACACGAACCACACTCTGCATCCAAATTCGGAGCATGCGCAACCAACCCGGCACGCCCCCCCCCACCATCTCTATCAAACAAACAATACAAAGTACACTTAAGGGCGAAGTCTGTAGTCATGTTCGTGAGGCCCGCGAGCACTTTTTTCAAGTGTCCGCATATTGCCTGCTTTGCGCAGGGCTACCATCCCTGATACAAAAACAATGCAACATGCACCTCGCAGCTAAATCTGGATCATGCGCGGCCACCCCCGCGATCACTGCCAAGAGGTTTTTGACAGGGACAGCTGGGGTGGTGGCGTATGGCGTGCTGTCCGCAGGCCCACCAGACACTCAATGATGTGCATTGATTTTCGACGAGGATGGTGAGGCCGACATGCTTCCCGATGTGTGCTGTCACGTTCGCAGGTGCACTTGACACACTCTGCACGTGCCCCGAACGTGGCGCACCTGGCGCGGCTGGAGTACGCGGCACACCTGGCGCACGCGGAGGCACGTGGCGCATCTGGCGCACCAGGCGTGCCTGTCACGCTCGGGCCCTAGGGGTGCCTGGCGCGCGTGGCGCGCCTGGCACGCGTGGCGCACTTCGCCCCGGCGTCGCGCACATGGGCTCAGTTTTGGTTCCCAGTAGCTGTCCATCTAGTCTTAGCGCACCGCGCATTCATCTCAAACGTCTGCAAGAACTTCACGGATGGAAGGCGGTCCGTTTTCAAGATGTGGCTGCTGCCCTAGCGCCGCGCACATTCGTCTCAAACGTTTGCAGAGGGTGTCGCCAATGGAGGGCTGCTCCTTTTCAACATGTGGCTCTCGCCTTAGACCAGCGCACATTCGTCCTAAAAGCTTGCAAGAGTTTCACGAATGGAGGGCGGTTCCTTTTCAACACGTGGCTCTTGCATGAGCGCCGCGCACATTCGTCTAAAGAGTTTACAGCAATGTCAAGGACCCTTCTGGTTGACGCCCAAGACAGTGCATTCTGGCACGATGTACGACGGTCAGGGCGCAACAATCACGTTGACTCGCGGTGCTGAAGTCCTTGGAGTGGTGATCTGGCAAGTTTCAGGATCGTCAGGACGCAACAGTAAGGTCGATTCGCTGCGTTGAAGCCCCCGGAACGGTGTTCTGGCACGGTGCAGGATTTCCATGTGGTTGTCTTCCAACGGGGCACTTCCCTCAGTGGAAATAAGCTCTTTCTTGCAGGGGCCTGTGAGGACGGAGCTTGGAGGGAGGGTCTATTATTGCGCTGTCGTTGGTGGGTCTTGGGCTTTCACTGGTCCTCGTCCTCTTCCTCATACTCTGTCCAGCAAAGGGGGCCTGCGGATGGCGACGCCAGTCGGGGCGGCTACATGTCCAGCACGTGCCCAGCGGCTAGCGGCATCGCGGGCTCCTGGGGCCCAGCATTTCCATGACAGCGAATTTCCAACCGAGGCGACCATGCTGAACAAAAGAAACGTAGGCCCGCCTCCCACAACCCGTTCCTTACTGCAAACGCTGAATCGACAATGCAAGACAGCCTGGTGCACGTGAGCGTGGGGATCGGCGCTCGATCAGGAAACGCGAGGGCGGGAAACGCGCAACTTTCGGGACCCCGCAAAGCCTTGGATCCAGCTGGAGCCCCAAATCTAGCCGAAATCGTGGCTGCCTCTCCAAAGCGCTGGCCGATGTTTCCTGGATCTAGTTCAAAGCCAATCCCCAAACTGGCACATTTCTGGAACGGCCAAGGCGGGGGCGTCCAAGAGAGGGGGGGCACAAATCATGGCTGGCGGCATGTGCGCGGCCAGAAGGGGCCAGGGACGTAATGACATAAGGAGAGGCGTCGTGAAACCTGGGTGAATATCATTGCCCACGCCACGATATCCAACCCCCCTAGTCATCACCCCCCTTTTGGCCGCCCCCGAAGATTTTTCAAACTGTCCCCAACAAAGCCGGGGGAGAACCTCCATACTCTCCGGCACCCATCCAAAACTACGGCGTCGAACAACCACTTCTACCGCGCCCACACGCGCAGGGGGGGAGCTGTGCTAGCTTCCTCCAAGCTGCTGAAAAGAAGCGCTGGATCACAACAAACCAGGAAAAAAACCGTCCCTCAACGATCGGTGGAACTGTGCGGAAACGGGGTGCTCCTCCTCGTCCTCTTATTTGCTGGGCGGGAGGCAGGCGGAAAAGGAGGACGACGATGAGGACGACGATGAGGAGGACGAGAAAGATGAGGAATTGTCTGGTGACCGACGGCGTACTCGCGCCGTGCGTTGGTGGCACACGGATGGACACAAACTGGGAAAACTTGATCGTCGCCCCCTCCCTCCCATTCTTGCTCCTCCTCCTCGTCATCAACATCCCTTTTCCTCGTTCTTCCCCTCCGCTATTCCGCCGTAAGGACCAATGTTCAAGATATAGAAAAATCGCATCCGTGCGTGAGAAATTTCAGGTGCCGCAACAGGGGAAGTCAAACATTTTGTGCTCGCATCCTTGATTCGATGCGCACAAGGATGTTCGGCCGCGACCGCGGTTCTCATTGATCATCGAACGCGTCGCCAGGTCGAACCTGGACAATCAATCTCCACTTCCTGCTACACCTGGGGCGTTGACCTAAGGAACGATAAATAAGGAACGGGCCCCCTTCTTTCCCATGAGATAAGCTTCGACTTGCCATCGACTGCCTAAGGGTAACCGAAGGCAAACAGGAAGAAATAACAACTAAGGAACACCGAACCCCGAACGAGAAGGGTTCCTTCGTCAGCGCCCAGACTGCAACTGACATATCTGAGCGGTACCGCGCGGGGGCGGCGGGCGCCAAAATCGGCGAGCCGACGCGGGGGCAGGGGCGCGCTGGACCGACGGGTCACTTCTTGAAGCCGAATGCTTTCAGGGCGAGGCGCGCTGGGGGGCGGCCCGCGCGGCGCGGGCGCGGCCGCAAGAAACGCTCGCAGAAAGCCCGGCCCGGGCGCGAGGTGCGCCCGAGGAGAAGCCCAGGGCGCCCTGAACGCAGCAGCTTCTTCAACGGCCGCGAGAAGTCACTGCGGTGCGCGCGGGGCGACGAAACCCGGGATTCCTGGGCGAAGGGCGCGCGGTGTCTCGATGCGCGCCCCTGGTGCGAGCGACGACTGGATCGCAGCAGCGACGACCAATGCCGCGCGCATCTACGCCATGCGACGCGCAGAAGCATGCCGCCCCGGCGCCCCCCCCCCCGCCGAACGTTTCGGCGGGTAGGTTGCCGGCGGCGCAGGAGTTGACTGGGCTAGCAGACTGCCTTAGCCCGCATGCGCGCGCGGGCAACATGGCGGCGCATGTCTTGGGCAGCAAAGGGAGAAGGGCTGACGGAAGCGAGGGGCGCGGGGCGCGGGGGGCGCGCGCGTGGCTGCGCGCCCAAGGCTCGCCCGACACTGGTCGCCCCATCTTGTCAGCGGGCCCCCGCGAGCGCTGCGCGCGACGCGGGGCCAGTCGCGGACTCGCCAGGCCCGCTGGGCGCAACTCATGTCGCTGTTCGCCCTGGCCTTGCACCCGAGCGTGGCGTTCTCCTGCCTGGCTCGGCGCGCCGGGCTCCCCCGTCGACCGCCGCGGCTCTTTCGTCGGGCGCCGCGCCCGCTTCGCCTGTCCGTCAAGCGCAACCTTCCGTCGCCGTCCGAGCATGCGTAGCTCGGACCACCCCTGCATTTTCACCCTTCCACTCTTGGTCTCGTTCTGACGCGAACGCGCGGCGCTGTCGGAGTCGTCGCGGACTGATAGAAGTGCCGCCCAAAAACCGGTCCGCACTGGCCCGGCTTCTTCGCCTTGGCATTCTTCGGGCGGCGCGTCAACTGGGCGCCGCGGGCGCTCGTCGACGAAAAGGTCCTGTCTAAATTCGCGTTGCTCTCCGTCGGTCCCGCATCTTCGGCCCGCGTTCCCCCCGCAGCGGCCGTTCGCGCTTTGCTGCCTTAATTGCGCCGATTTCTCGGCCCCGAACCGGCCGTCGCGACTCTCGCTGCGCGCCCGAAATATTGCTTGATATGCGGAGGGAGCGGCGGCCAGTCAGCGGGGCGTCTCCTGCGAGCATCGCGTTGGCAAGGGCGGGATGTCTGGCGCAATCAAGCTGCGCGCTGCGATTTTGGGCCGCCCCAGCATCTCTGCCTTGCGCGTCGCCTCCTCGAGCGCGCAATTGAAGTCATCTCGGGCCACGAAGACCGCATTCGCGCGCCCCCCCCCCCCCTGCGCGCTGTGTAACTCGTGTGTGTATATATGTATGTATGTATGTATGTATGTATGTATGTATGTATGTATGTATGTATGTATGTATGTATCTATATAGATATACACATCTGCACATGCATTTGTGCGTGCACATGCGTCCGTGTGAATGCATGCAAGTATATCTATATATGCATATACATATATATATATATGCATGCATGCATATACATATACATACATACATACCTGTTAGAATCTCGGCTCGCCGCGGCGCTGATGGCGCGCTCTCGTTGCTCGCTTCGCAGTCGGGACAATGCGCGCGCGGGCAGGCGGCGCTCCGCGAGCCACTGGCGACCGCCAGACGCTCGAGTGCGAGATGCAACCAAGTGCGCTTTTGAGATCCAGCGCAGCAATCCGATATGGCACATTGATGTGGCACCGTCCCGTTCCTCTGCGAACGATGCACCTGCGCGCGCACGCGTGGTCGACGCAACAGAAAATTCGTCTAGAACCAGCCTGGCCGAAGGATACATGCGCAATGATCCTGCCGTTGATTCTTGCGCACAATAGCTGGCTGACTAAGTGATGCCGTGCCGATCTCCTTCCTTCAGGTATAGAATGCACGGACATACTTTCCCGTCCTGAACGGCTGCGCGAGGGGCTAACGCAGCCGAGACTACGTCTGCCCTCGTTTGCATCGGGAGGTCACCCCCTCTACATCGCAGCCCTACCACCGCGCCATTTTGATCGGCCGCCTTGCCCCCGGACGTCCTCTTCAACGCTCCTTCTGGCGAAACTGCCTGGGCCCAAGTGCAAATCCATTGCGCCGCAAACAATTGCTGTCGCCACTTCCCAGGGACTCGCTGCCCTCCGCGTCCAGAACCGAAGACGTGCATAACCGCCTCCCTTTGTCACGTATGCCCTTGGTCCGCTGCGAGTTTGCAAATTCTTGCAAAACTTGGCGTGCCCTTGCGCTCTCCCGCGCCCCGTCCGCGGCGCGGACGTCCCTGCGGACGTGCTCGCTCATGCGCTTCACATCGTTTTTATTCCAACCCTGTCGCGCTGATCGTCTTGACGCGAACATCGCTCGCAACCGTTTCCGTGCTGCTTCGCCTTCTTAAAACTGGAACTGTTCATCGCACGCCTCCGCAAAACTCAACACTATCCCTTCGATTTGACGGCGCCGTTCCTTGGCCCCCAACCCCGCGAAGCTGGCATTATCCATCGCTGGCATGGCACCAAATGAGGATCAATGTGGTTCTGATAATCCTCGTCGTCCCGCGGCCTCCATCTCCGGAAATTTGGCAGGTGAGACTTCAACTGCGCGTCGCAATCCCCTACTGGCTGACTCTCGATTGAGCGTGACTTGGGAGCTCGGTGATATTGCCCAAAAATCACGTCGTCGATCGCCCCTGCGTCCTCGATGCCGCGCAACCGCCGTGCATCCAGCAAACACAAGTCGAACTGACGCTTGACACCGCCGCTCTGATTAGCCCGTTGTTCCTGGAAGCTCTTCTCCACAATCGCGTTTGCGAACACATCGTTTTGTGGAGTTGCCCACTGAAAACGGATGGCCTCTTTCGCATCTGCATCTCATGCTGTACCTGCCAATGCCCTTTTCACAGTCCCCACTGCTGTGAACACCAACTGTGACATCCAGACCCCGAACAAAAAACATATTCGAATTGCCCGGCGGGCCCGTTGCACCAAACTGTGAAACTGTCTGGATACAAATGTTATCCCCCCTCTCGTTGTCAAATCCGCCATGTGGCATATATATATACACATACATACATGTATTTTGAAATAAGACATTCCTGTTACCGGTTCGAGCGTTTATCGCGCCAAATTGGTTCGCGTTGTAAAGCACGGAATTGCCATGTCCAGCGTTTGTGTTACGGTATGCCTGTCCCACATTTTCCCTTCAGCCCTCTGGAGCAGCAAAACATAAAACCACCCTCGTCCTTGCATTTTTCCACGTTTCTGGAATTCACAAAAAACTTGCAGTCTACACGCTGCAAGTCCGGAAACAACGCTTCCTCCCGAAACGTGGTTTGCAACAGCTGACATTTCGTTGCGTACATATTCAATCCACAGGTCTGTCAAGACCTCCACAAACTTGCGAAATTACCCTCGTAACGTCTGTCCTGAATGTTGGTGATGAGCTCCGGGGCTGGGAAGGCGGGCAATTCCTGCGAGGCTGAATCCTGCAAGGCAGATCTCCATCTGCACGCTAATGCCCCCTACCTCCCCCAGTGGTTCGCGCTTGCTGCACAGAGCTTGGAAGCACAATCTCGGAATAACACCCAACAGCCATAGATAAAAATCCCCAAATCGCTTGCATTCTGGAGCCGGAGCCCTGAGCCGCAAGAGGGGGTCGCCAAGGTCTGCAGCGGAGGGCGGAAGCCGGCTCGCACTCTGCACTGGAAGCGCCACCGTGGTACGGAACTCTAACATAACACAATCGAGCCGCCCAGGCGCCTCGTGACATGGTGGGTCATGCCAACCTCCACGATGGTACGTTTGATTTTACTGTCGATGACCTCGCGTTTGTGGCGACCTTTGACAAATCTCTACACATGCATCTGCAACGACTTGACCATGGCGAGATTAGGATGCCAACGCGCCAAAACGAGAAACAGACTGCCAACATGTCCCCAGAACCGTGGCGGGAAATCAAGCATCACAACCACCTGGCCTAACAATGGCCCGAGCAAGAGGCGGAAGGAGAAAACTGAATTGGACTACCAAGGTGGGGAAACAGAAGAGGGAGGTAGATTGCCAAAGCGACGACGACAACCAGTGGGATAGAACACTCGCTGCACACATTTCTTCAACCGGGGCTCCGCCGGCAACGCCACGTGGCGGTGCAAGTGCTCCCAGAGCAGAAGGACGCGGCCATTGCCCGCCGGCCTTCGCTTCTGCCCAGGCCGCCAACCTCCTCCTCTTCCTCCTCCTCCTCCTCTTTCTCCTCCTCCTCCTCCTCTTCCTCCTCCGCCTCCTCCTCGTCCTCCTCCTCTTCCTCCTCCTCATCCTCCATCTGCCCCGTCGTTCTTCCCCACACCTCTTCGCGTCGTGAGGAAATCACGATGGCGGGGTGTTAGGTATTTCTGGCCTCTGGGGGCCCTGATTGGGCCCCGGGACCATCAAACATGTGCCCAAGGTCGAAAGCATGACCTCTGGAAGGAGTCCAGACCCCAGGGGCCAGCCCCCTTCGCCAAAACATTACAATGTCAGGGGTCTGGGACCTACCCCCCCTCTTCTCCTCCTCATCTTTCCGTCGACTCTTCCTGCTCCTCCTCTTGCTGGCTCTTGGCTCCTCCTCATCATCATCCTCATCCTCCCGTGTTCTGCCCCGTCCGCACTCTCCTCCTTCTCTCTGCGCTCCCCTCTCCAAGTTTTCCGATATGTCTATTCACCCTGCGCACCCAATGAATGTAAATATTCCACAGGTAACTGACACGTGCGTGCTCAAGCTCATACGAAAAACAACTAGGTGCCACCGAGGGGGAGGGACCACAACTTGTGATTGGAAAACATGTCGTGAAGCACCCGGGTGGCTATGAAAAATGTACGCTGAAGCAGAAAAGTGGTGAAACAAGCGCGGATAACAAAAGAAACTATGCTTTCGCAACAACTGTTTGCAACATGGCTGAATTTCATACTGCGTCAGTTGGGTGTCCTATACACGATTGCATTTCTAAACAAGTAACAGCGAACAACCCAATATTTTTCGAACAGTCATGCGAACGTCATTGGGCCCCAGTGTGCTTTCGAAAGTTGTCTTAAGCATGTTGAGCACCCTTACTGTGTTTGGCCCTGGCGTCGCGGGGCCCAAACATGGAAAGCGACAGGCCGCCCCGATGATTTGAGCGCATGCGCACATGCGGAAGTGATACGACCCGATGGGTGGCATCACACCCTGGCGTCACCCAACCTACCTCAAGCTCGCAAGCTGTTCCCAAGTCCTGCGCTTCGTGCACACACGCGAGGACCACTCAACTGGACTTGGCTGGCTTCACTTCACGCCTACCCTTGACGCCTGCCGGGTAGCTCCACTGAACTCCACCTCAAGTCTGCCAAACGACGAGAAAGCGCACAACACGGAACTGGACCGACACGCCGTGTCTCTCTACACGACACGTCGGCTGCAGTGCCGGCGCGGCGGGCAAAATGACGTGTATCGTATTGGCATGGGGCAGACGGGTCCTGAGGGACACGGGTCCTGGACCCTGGGGCCTCCCACATGACCCGTTCTTCATCCTGAATCGTTTTCAGACAGTCTGGGGCCCATGGAGGGCCCCGGGCTGCCAACATCGCAGAAACAAACCTCAGGACTCGCTTTCCTCAAGACCCATTTCCCCCATGGCGAGTCGCATGATGAACCGGAAAAGAATCCCTAACCCTTTGGAAGGCGACCTAAGCTAGGAGGGCCAACAGACATTAGGGAGAGGGGGTCTGTTCTGCAGACGCATCAGACCAGACCGCCAAGATTTATGATCCCTAGTGCGAAGACGGGGACCCCAGTGAGGCTGCGTCTTCATCGTGCCATTAGGGTTACACGTCGGTTGGAAGAAGTAGGTATGACCATGAATGAAGTAGGAATGCGCATACAATAAATTGGGTTCAGGCCCTCCCGGATAATAACAAAACACAGCAAAAGCGCATCGGTTCTTGAGGTAGGAAGGCGCTTGAAGTAGCTTGGGATCTGGGAAGCCGGGAATACCTACTATTCGACCTCTTGTGATCGAGGGCCGCAGTTGCCGCCAGCCGCTGGGCTCCCCGGGCACAAAACAGAAAGATGTGTGCCAGGCCTGGCCGGGGCGGCCACAGGGGCCGCGCACTGCGAGGCGCCCGGGCACGAGGCGGGGGCGGCGAGAGCGGTGGAGAGGCGAGAGCGGTGGAGGGCGGAGGGCGGAGGGCCGGCGGAGAGAGCGCGGGGCTAGGGCTCGATCAAAGCAGCGTTTTCCGTTTTCGTTGCGTGTTCGTGCATCCTCGCTCGGTCTCTTCGCTCCGCCTCTCTGCTGCAGATCGGATGCAGAACGACCGCGGCCCACGAGATCGCCCAAACACCGTTGAGAGGTCGAGCCTGAGCGAGGGTACGCAAAGCTGCACGCGCCCTCCAAGGCGGTGCGGCCACCGCGTCGAGCCGAGTCTCACTCGCCACCCGAACGAGGTGCTGGGCGGCAGGGGCGAGGGGCAGCTGTTGCCCGGGATGGGAGGCGACGTCGATGCCTCTGCTCCCCAGACATCTCCTGGGGTGCGGCCTGAGGTCTTCGTAGCAACGCTCCAGGACTGCAAAGCCCGAGCCCGATGAAGTCGTCTTGCGCCAAAAAGGATTACGCCTGAGCAACTGGATTAAGCTAGATGGCGCGGGACCAAGAATTCTAACCTGAGGGATCCAGCCGTGGCGATGACGCCCCCCCGCCCTCCGGGGAGGCCCTAAGAGGCGAAGGCAGGGGGACGATGTTTTCCCTCCTCCTGTGTACACGGGGACGTCCACACCATCAAACAGATCTCCCTGTGCCGACCTCGGCAATGTGCAAATTGTAAATGCGTGCGCCACGCACGCTGCGACAATCCCAACCCCCAACCCCCCCACGGCGTACGCGGCAATGGTCGATCTTGGCATGATCAACAATTTGTCGCCATCGCCACCGCCGACATCATCATCGTCGTGGTGTTATCGGTCACGACAGTCGTCGCCTGCGACGTAGTCATCATAATCATCATCTGCAGCAG